CCGCGTCGCAGGCCCGCGAACCCCTCTCCAACACATCCGTAATTATGTAAAACTGTACATTTTTTTAATATACATATAGACATACACATAACTGTAAACCCCGGAAATCGTCACAGAGATTGAGAGGGGGAGGATAGGTAAAGCAAATGAAAAAAATGTTATATGTATAAGAGAGAGGAATCGAGAAACGAAACGACGAATGAGAAAGAGAGCTGCGGGGCAAAGCAAAATAATTCGAAGACAATGCAAAAATAATATAAAAATAAATACATAAAAGAAAGATAAAATCGTAGCAGTGGCAGCCGCAGGATGCAGTAGCAAAAACACCAACCAGCAGCCAGGCAATAGCAGCAACATAATGGATTCTTCGATTTTACGAAGAACTTTCTAATTTATTTAAAAATAAAATAAAAAAAATTGAAAAAGTAACAATCATTGATTAGTCTTTTTACTATAGGCGGCTACTGTGGGGACCCAGGGATACTTGGAGTGGGGAGAGGAGGATGATTAGTATCCACAACAGACTATGAGCCATGTTCCATGGAACCGCAAATCAAAAATTTTACTGAGATGATTTCACTGTACGAGTAGGTGTGACGCCTTTATCCATTTCTTGGTACGCAGACTGAGTCCGTCTCGGGGTCTAACATTTGTACAAACTGAGATCATTTTGGCTTCCTGAATAAAACAGTGAAATCTTGAGGAAACCTCAAATCTATTTTTTGACGTGAAACAAACATTACTTATCAAAAACGGTTAATTTACTACAAAACTTTGTCATTTTAAAAATAAGCTGATTTTGTTGGGAGGTGGTCACCTACCAAAGAAAAATAAATCTTAAAAGAGTAGCTTACCATTAAAAAAAAAAATATTATGAAAAGGCAAAGTTAAAGGAGATTAAAAATTTGTATCCTGGCTAAGTTTTGCAAGTCTGGTGGTTGTACTCGCACTCTGGAGTCTAGAGTTGGTTGACCGCTGGCATTGTTAAAGCAAAAGTTAAGTTTTTTTTTTATGATCTTCGGCGGTTATGGCCCGTTGGCTAGGCAAGAAAAAACTTTAAATAAAATATGTTGTTTGATTTTTGGTTTTCATCATTTTATTGTTTTCTTCTCTTTTTGTTTTCTCCCCCTCATCAATATTCTTTTTTATCGGATTTTATCTCTCATTTCCTTGCGCATCAACTCAAGAGCTCTTTGCTATATAATTCCTGCGGTAACGGTATCTCTCTCTCTGGTGAACACTCGACGTTTCTTATTGGTTTTTGTTAGTGTTCCTCCTCCTCATACTCTTTCTTCATCGTTTTTTTGTTTTTTTTTTTTTAATCTTAATTATTTCTTAAATACATTAAAAAAATACATAAAATATTTTGTTGGTTTTTTGTTGTTGTTGTTGGTTTTTCCGTTTGTTGGTTGTTGTTGGTTTTGTTGTTTTAAATATGTATGTGTGTGTATATATATATAAATAAGCTAACAGTATATTGTTTATATGTTTATGTTGTATATGTATTTTATATAAGTATGCACTCTCGGATCTCGAAAGAAATAGGGTAACCCTATCTACACATATATATTTTTTACTTTTTCTCTATTTAGAATTCGGCTCACGTTGTTTTTTTTTTTTTTTTTAAATTATTTGTTTAGGTTCTGTTGTTTGCGGGTTGCGTATTTTTTTTTTTAACTTTGTTGTTGTGATTATTCCAATGTTTCGTTCAGCTTGGGCTTGTTTTTTTCTTTCAGTTTTTAGTTTTAAGTGTTTCGATTACTAGAAGACAAAGCGGCTTTAAACGTGAACGGTTTACGGGTAGGATAGGAAACAGTAGAAGGATAAGGATGTGGATAAGGAGTGGAAAGAAGGAGACATATGGGGAGAGAGAGGACAGTGAGGTGGGTTTTATCCGGTCCGGCCACTTCTTGACTAAATATTTTGTTGTTTTAAAAACTATTCTAAACTTGTATAGCCGCCCTTCACTTATTAAATAAAATGCAAAGAATAAAGTTGTCGTGTCCTATAGGTCGTCGGGAACAGGTCTGTATGTGAGTGTGTATTATCGATAGCTTTCATCGATAAGTGATATCCAGCGTTGTTGTTTGTGTGTTTGGATGTTGGTCCTTGTCCTCGTTTTGTGTGTGTGTGGGTGTGTGGGGATGGTAAGGGGCCTTGTTAACGTTTTCTCTTTACTTTATTTTACTATGCATCCACAATTTAACGATGATTTCTGTTTTTTGTTGTTGATGTGGGTGTGTGTATCGTGTGTGTGTGTGTGTTTGTGTGTTTGAATGTGTGAGTGCTTGGTATCGGCTCTCTGCTGGGGCTGCACTGCTTGGATCTTGGGATGCGCTTAGATGCGCTTTGGAATCGTATCGATGGCATTATTCTCAGGCTCTTCGTCCTTGGGTGGCTGACCACGTTGCTATCGTTTTACCATCGAATCGGAAAAAAGACCATCATTATCATTTTCGGATCGGTTCGGATTGGATCAGAGAACGAGCCACACAAAAGACACATTGGAAGAGAGAGAGAAAGAGAGAGAGAAGAAAGTAAAAAAGAAAGCAGAAGATAAAGAAGAATGTATATAAATGTGATCAAACACACACATCTAAATATCAATCAATGAATCATTGGTATATATGTTATATATGTATGTATGTAGGTATGTATATATGTTTGTATGAATGAACTATATCGAGAACCATAAGTATAAGTATGGCTGGCATTAAACCAACGAAAAATGTTTTTATTTTTTGTTGTTGTGGCATTAAACCAACGAAAAATGTTTTTATTTTTTGTTGTTGTGGGGCAAATCAAATCTCAATGTTAAATGGCAGGATTTCGGATGTGGGAGGATCGGATCCCAGCAAAAGGACTTTTATTCATTCGATTCGAAGCTTGGGGCAACCATCTAGTATTGTGTGTATGTGTGTGTGTCTTTCTGTACTATGATCTGTCCGTGATTCGGTTTTGGGTTTAATGTGTGGTTTAATGGGATATGTTTTACTTCGGGTACAACTTATATGTATATGTATGTATAGTATACTATATATTATATCCACCTCCACCAAATGGTAGGGCGAACCAGGCAGAATGCAGTGTAGGTGAGACGAGCTCTGCTAATGTATTTTTTTCAAGGCCCACCCACTGTATAAATATAATATAGTACAATGCATAAGCAATAGTGAAAGTATTTTTAGCAGATATTTTTTTATTTATCAAACAATTATTATTATTATTATTCTTTTCGGATTTCTGTTTGATCGAGCGGGGGAAAAAGCGGGGATGTAAGAAAAAACGGTAAATATGTAGGCAAGCAGTACAGTACACTGGTGCTGCAGCAGCTAGCTTTTCTCCCTGCTGTCTGTCCGACCATTGACCATCGTATCGTTGGCCGTGACGTTTGAGTGAAATGTCAGTAGTGTGGCCAGGCACGGAACAGCTCTAGCGTCGTCGTTGCTTGTGTGTGTGTGTTTTGAAATGGGTGCGAGTGAGCGTGTGATAGATTAACAGTTAGATAAGAATATAGGTAAAGGAGGTATAGTGATGGAAGGAGTGTGAGTGGGATATGGAGAGTGAGAAAGAGAGTAGGAGTAGGAGTAGCGTCACGCACAACGACGATCACTCAGCCTCAGCCTCGGGATCTGGACGACTTAGGATCTCCTGACAGAGTGCAATATAGTCCTAGATACAGTCGTAGATTCATAGCATAGTAGGCATGAAAAAAGTGAGAATAAATTAAAAGTAAAGCAAAAAGGAACAGCAAACATGGAACATGAAACACGGCACATGGCACACGGCACACGACGTGGCGGATAATTGTCGGGAACGGAACACAGTCCTTCGTGAAACACTTGGTGGGCTATCGTATAATGGATTATGAGCTTGCGAGGAGGAGGGGGGAGGAGTTCGAGTGGCATTTCGAGTGTGGCAAAATGATAGACTGTGATTTGTATTAAATATCAGTTTCGTTTTTATTTTTAGTTATTGTTATTATTACTTTTGTTCTCCATTATATTCATTTTCTTTTTGTTTCGTCTACATCATTATGTTCTCTTTTCTCTCTTTCGTTCACATCGATCATTTATTAATTGTAAACAGTTTTCTGCAAATCTCACATTAAATTATCAACGCTCCTCGGCACTCTATCGATCTCTATATAGATTCTCATATACATATACATATCTATATATTAATATATATATGTAGATATATACATACATACATATATACTATATATATATTATATAATTAATTCCTAATTTGCTTAAAAAATGTTTCTCAATTTATTGTATAGGTGTTTTTTGTTTTCTTTTTTTTTTCGTTCGTTTGTTTTGCAACGTTTTTTTTTTATAATAATTAATCGTTACGCAAATATTAATAGTTCATGTCTTAACAGAAAAAAAAACAAAAAAATTATACAATTATATAGTTGTATTATTACGTTTTGGCAGATTAAAAAAGACAATGTAATATTCAAATTCCAATTCAAATTCAAATTATTTTCAACAATAGTACAATTCGGAAATCCTCTGTGAGTACAGGAAAATGCGTTTAGAATATATAAAAACAGAAACAACATGATGGCGGGCGTGGGGTGTTCGGTTTGCAACGATTCTGAAATTTTGGACCCTCTTACAGAACTAAAACTAAACTGGCGGTGGCAACACACCACTTTCTTCTACTTGTACAATAACTAGAACAAGGTCAAACAACCATTTACTGGGGGGAAAACTCTACGAGTACAACACTACTGATCTCGCACACACTCCGCACAAAACGGATGTATTGTATTTATTTCGGTATACCATTAAGCGCTTTATTCTCACTTTCTCTTTTCAGTTTTGATTGATTGTTTTTTCAATTGTATGAGATTATAAATTTTATAAAGGTATTATTATTATTGCTTTTGCGATGAATAAGGCAACACTTGCCGCACCCCAGTGTGTCCACATGGAAGTTTGTCTTTACTTTTTTTTTTTGTTGAGAATCTTGCGGATTTGCTTTTGTGCTGTGCTATGTGTGTGTGTGTGTGTGTTTTGTATCTATGTGTGTATATGTGTGTGTTAGGTTTATGTGTGTTAGGTTCTGTGCAGTGCTTGCTGTTTCTCTGTTGCCGCCATCCAGTTGTATCTCCCTCTCTCACATTATTTCTCTCTCTCTCTTACTGTGGTTGCTTTTTGTCTTTTTATCCACGTGGATCCTGTTCTTGGGTATCTTCCTCGTAGGGATCTTCTTCACATGAATCTTCTTCTTGGAAATTTTCCGTTTGGATATCTTCTTCTTGTGGATCCCCCGAGCTCAATCCCGATACTGTGAAATGTGACGAGAACGATGTGAACGTATCGTATTCGATTATTTCATTGCTCTTGTTCTGATCAATCTCATCCTGCAGAGAGTACACTGAACTTGATGGGGGAGATGGCCCGTTTCCCTCTGATCCCGATACTGGAGTGGCACAATCCGGCTCCACTAGAGAGTGGCTCACTGGAGCTACAACTGCTGCTGATGGAGCCGCCTCCGAGTTCGTTTCCGCCGGTGAAATGTGTGACGAGAGGGATGAGCATGTATCCGAATCGATAACATAATTTTCGGCATAATAGTATGTGGGTACCATAGTGTAGTGCCGCTCATCTAGAGGGTACACTTTAGTTGTAAGGAGTTGTGGGTTTGTCCCGTTTTGATTGTTGTTTTTGGTCGATTCTTGGGAATTCTTGAGTTCTAGGTGCTATGGGGTGTAGGTTTGAGGGGGGGTGGGTTTAGGAGGCATTTATACAGGATTATCATTAATAATTCATTTATCAATGCGTCTAAATATGTAGTCTTTGTGTTTCTTGTGCGCGTGTGTGTGTGTGTCTTGTATGTGCTTTTGTGTGTTATGCTATTATTATTGCTGTTTTTGCATTGTTATCTGGAAGTACTACGTTTCTTATATATCGTTGTATATCGCTAATGTTAATTACTCGTTTCTCCCCTCTAATCATCATTCTATATCAATCTATATGTATATTTCCGTCTTGCTCATTCTCATACTCTTTCCATTGCTCACATTTACTGAAGGTTGTTTGTGTGTTTGTATATGACCAGTGTTGTGAAATGCCAAGGCGTGAATATAAAACAGAACGTACAACAAAACATACATACATACATACATACATCCGAGTGACAGACGACAATACATACAATGAATGGTACATACATACATACATATTAAAAATAAACAAAATCAGTTAATTATTACTTAGCCAAACGCATATGCAATACATGTATGGTATGGTGTGGTATGGTGGTTTTGGGTTATGTTCATTTCTATATATATATATAGTTTTAGTGTATGGCTATATGTGTATGTATGTATATGTATTTTAGAGCGCAGAGCCAGTGTTGGTTTATGAGTATACTAAATTAAAAACCTAACATAAAAACATATACAAATGTTTGATTAAAAATATATACATACATACATATGTATATAGCTGATGGAAAATTGACAAAAAAAGTTCTACACAATAAAACTTTTTTTTTTCAACGCAAACTAAATGTGATTGAATGAGGAAGGAGGTTGGTCTTCAGTGTCCCAATGACTGATGAATGAAAAATTTGTATAATTTTTAAGTGAAATCTGCATGACGGAACGTGCGTGCGTGCCTGTCCGTTTTGTATTTGTTTCTGTTGTGTTTTTTTGCTGAAGAAAACCTCACATTAGATCATTTCCGCACACGTTTTGCCTCAAAAATTTAATTTTTCCTTCTACTACTGTTTTCTTGTTTTGTTTTTTTTCGTAATACATTCTACTAATTGTCAGCGTTTTTGTTGTTGTCGCTTTTGTTGTTTTCTTTCAATATAAACGCAATTGGTTGTTTTTTTTTTTTTCTATATTTGTATAAATGATTCTTTGCTCCTGGCGCTCAAAACCTCTCAATACAGCAGTTGTTCTTGTCTCTCTCTCTCGTCTTTCCACTTTCCACTTATCGTCTTCTCTTCTACCATGTCTCTCAGTGTGCCGTGTTGTTCTTGTTGTCTATTGGTCTTCCCGTTATAAACTATTTGTTTTGCTTTGTTTCGTATTTTTTTTTGTGGTTTTTAATTTTTTTTTTGTTTTTCAGATTTTGTTTTTTTGTATATGCAATTGAATGGATTGTTGTTGGTTGTTGTAGTTCTTGTGTTTTGTGGTGTGTTGTTGTTGGTTGGTTGGTTGGTTGGTTGTTGGTGCGTATATGCGTGTGTTGGTGTGTGTGTTGTTTGAATTAGTTTTTCTACACACAATGTTAGAATCGATCGAACAGATCGATCGGTTGCAGATCGAACAGAGAGGAGATTGGTTGACCGACAAGGGGATCGTGATCGGTTGTCGTTCAGATTTTGTGGATTCATGACCATTAGGTGGGTTTTTTTTTTTTTTGATTTGATTTGATTTTTTTTTTTTTTGTGGTGTTTTTGGTGGTCGTATGTTTGGGGAGAAAAACAAATATAAAAAAAGATATAATATATATATATATAGTATATAGTTGAGGCTTAGTTCAGATATAGTATGTACTTATGAAGTATTATGGATTTCTCTGGTGTTAAAAGAAGTGAGGATTTTAGTCAATCAGGAGTCAACGAAAGAAAGATCACAAATAAAAATAATGAACTGATCGTTTTGGTATTTGTGTGTAAATAATTGTGAGAATTATGTAAAACTAGTTAAGGTTTTAAATTTACCGCTCGTAGTGGCATTTTGAAATTGGCTGCTGCCTGCAGCTGAATTTGATAAGCTAAGCTGTGAATTTTAAAGCCATACAGCCTGGTTTTCGGTTGTTTGCATTGGTGTTGTTGACGTTGGTGAAAATCCATCATCCATCCGGGAGGAAACGCATCAAGAGATAGGGAAGAGAACACATAAACATTATTTGAATGCCACTAGCGGATGAAGAAACTGCCACTCACCGTGGAACAAATTGGTTAGTAGGACGCTTGGGGCGATACTCCGGATGCACCATGAAGAGCATGTGTGGAAATCCAGTACCAAAGTATGCGCCATCAGTGTGATGATGACGTGATGATTTTGGTGTATAGACATCAATGCACTTTGGGCAATAGGTCTTCACCATTGCCTCACCGGGTATGTCCGAAAGGCCTGAAAAACGTAAAAGAGATTAGGTATCGTCAATTGGGAATCTCAGGCTCAAGTTAAGATAATGGCAAGGTGCTTAGTTCTCATGTTCAAATGGGCAATCAATTGGTGACACATCTGCATATTTGGATGATCGCGCGACGGTCTCTTTTCCAGCTTAAGGTAACTCTCAAATGTCATTCAATCATTAAGGCAAAGTAAATGCTCATATGTTGGTTGGCAACCGATTGGCTGATGATTCACTTTTGGTATCGGCTTTTTCTGTATCATTAATCCCAGACCTGGGCTCAAATACCGGCATACAAAAAATAAATAAATATTGTCGCGACATTTGAGATCATTGATAGATGATCGCTGATACTGGCACTCACAAATGTTTACATATACAAATCATTGAAGAAGGGGCGCCTCTAACAATGCCGATTCAGCGTAAAGCAAAAAGGTTCTCATATCTTCAGACAGATGGGATATACATTTAATACAATTCTCTATGATTCAGCAGCAAAAAAAAAAAAACAATAGTGGAAGGGTGCCAGGTAGCCCCGGAAATTGCTCCAAGGCTGCTGCTGCATATTCAGCAGAAAAAGAACCCTCACTAGTCCTACAAATCGGAACAATCGAAAGGAAAGCTCATATGCAAACAAACATGAAATGGCGACATGGAACATTTGAGGGCGCCCTTGCTTAAGGATCGAATGGGGGAGTGAGTGGGTGAATGGGTACTACATACCCAAAGGCAACATTGGCTGGCTTTCACAGTAGACACGTGGGCAGTGTCCGAAATCGCCAGTTTGATATTTCTCAATCATTTGAGCGATGCCGCGATTTGTTAATATATATCTAGCGTGTATAAGGCCGTAGAGCATCTCGGCGGCCTGTTCGGTCATGTCCGACTGCAACGGATTGTCCTCCAGTTCGTCCTCTGTGGGGTGGGGAGGAGGAATGGTAAAAGTAAGTGAACATTATTCTTCAATAAGGGGGATCTTAGGGACACTTACCCGGTTCTAGATCTAGTATCATGTCCAAGGCCTGGCGGTAATTGGGCACCTGCTCATTTAATCCAGTTAAATTAAATTTATCCTGTATGTAATCCTCATCAACCTGGCAGGGAGAGATCCAACATGGAGAAATGCTTTAATTCTGAGAAATGGAGGAAGACACCAAGCTGCGTGATGAGGGAGGAGGGGGGAGGCCTCTTCTGTACAGTTTGACACATTTGTGCCCCACCTTGTGGCATACACTCGAACACATGCTCACACCCACATCACACACTGGCACAGGCACAGGGCTGGCTGCATGCACTTGGCTTTGCAATTGTTGCACCCGCGCTGAAGGAGAGCGCGCGCTCGACGACTGCCGTCGCCGCACACCCGCCGCGCGTCTTCATCCGTTGCCAGCGCCATCGCCATCGCCAGCGCCAGCCTTCTCTTGCTTAGATAACAGCTAAATTCCAAATTGAATTTAAACCAAATGAATCTATTCCACTTACCTCACAGAAGAACTCGTTGCCACGAAGCCCACAGAACCAGGTGACCCAAGAGACTTCTTCGGAGCTGCTCATTTTGCTGCGGGTGAGGTGGGTGGGGAGGGAAGAGTGTATACAATATATCATTATTAGGCAGTATCGAAGCAAATGGAACCCTGGGATCATATCATCGGTCCTTTGCAGCACGCACACACACATTAACACACATTCACTCGCGCATTTACGCACACATTCACAACATTGATGGATGCACATGTGTATTGTATATTGCAGAGTATTACATACATTATGGGGATTATTTTGCGTAATTTGCCTGGCAAACGAATTTATTGTTGAAATACCATAGAACGTGAAAGCCGGAGGGGGCCGAGCGCTTAGCGGGCGGAGCGGAGCAATGCGGCGCGACAACGGGAGCTAGGGCGGGGACGGTACGATGAAGAGGTAAGGTGCGGTATGGTGTGTGGGGAGAGGGGGGTCGGCCGCCGGAACGTGACGATACGTTACGGTACGGTACGCGGTTGCACGTCAAAAAAAAAACAACGTAACTTAACGAAAGTAAACGATGTGAATATTGTCCACGAGTTTTTTTCTTTTTTTTTTCGTTTTCGTTTGCTTCTTGGAATTATGCTCGTCTTGCGGTGGCTTCTTGTTGCTTTTTCACCGCCACGATCTTTCAACGTTTCGCGTTTGGTAAGTGATTTTATGCTTTTACTTGAGCACACACACGCCTAAACGAATATTTCACTGATTTGCGATTTCGAAAGCTGACTAAAAAGGAAGTCAATTTCAATTTCTCGTATTTTGACAAGCGCTCAATACAAAATGTGCCGAGCAGCAAGAAGAAGAGCACACTGGTGGAAATCAGTGGAAAAAAAAGAGACACATATACACACATGCACACGAACGCACACACACACACACACCGGGACACACACAGAAACGCACGCACGGTTTATACAATTTAGTACTTAATAGTTTCATTGTTTGCTGGTGGCTGGGCCTGTTGCTGCTCGTCCATGGCCGATGGAAGACTCACCTAAATTATTATAAATTATATGAATTGATTGGATTTTGCAAGGCAGCAGAACCGGTAAAGGCAAATATTGTAGCGAAGACGGAATAATCAGGTATGAAACTTGCATTTATCGATAAGTGCGTCAATTTCTTAAAATGCTATCGATGTATCTAAAACTGACAAGTGCTAGACTGGCCAGTTCTGCCAATCCCACCATTACCACATTAGTGTGAACGTATGCAAATACCAGAAAGTGATCAGCGATCAGCTGTGTCGCACGTTTTGATTTACATTTTGCTGTTGGATTTTGGAAAATATGGGAGGACACCACAAGAAGAATCTGCGTGCCGAGAAGGCCAAAGTGAAGCTCAAGGGGGCCAAACTGCCCAAGGGTCTCAATGTGACCAAGACCGACTTCAAGGTGCGCAAGATCGAGATCCGTGAGCAGCTTAAAGAAGCGTCCTACACCGAAACTGGCCAGCGGCAGTTCAACCTGAAGGAGACCCTGTCCCGGCTGAAACATCACAGCTTCAAGTTCCGCACGGATGCCATGCGCAATGTACGCGAGTCGGTCAAGTCCGGCCAGGCTGATCATCTCATCGGCCATCTCAACGAACTGTTCCAGGGCATCGCCGCTGGCGCCCTCGACATGGAGAGCAGTGTTCGCCAGGAGTCCTTCAAGACGCTCGATGTACTGCTGGAGGTGCTGCATCCACAGGCTGTGGCGCCATTTTTCCACGTGATTTCCACCTACCTCAAATGCGCCATGACTCACATCCATCCCACCATTCAGGAGGATTCCCTGCTGATGCTGGACGTGCTGATGCAGCGAGTGCCACCCTCACTGCTGGCGGAGCGCAGTGCCAGCACAATTGTGGGCAATTTCATTGACATGATCTCGCGCTCCCGTCACGACAATGAGAAGTCAAATCGTACGCTCACCATGAACCTGGGCCACGGCAAGCAGACGACCGTCAAGTGGCGGACCAAAGTGCTGCTCCGCCTTCAGCAGATCCTCGGCACATTGGCGCAGCACAGCGCCAAGACAGCTAGCACAAAATATCCAGTTCATGTCGCGCAATTTACTGAAGACCGTGCCAATTACTATGGGTTGCTCAGTCCGTACGCGCAAGACACCCGCAGCCTGTATGCCATCCTCCACGAGCCCAAGCTGACTGCGGAGGGCACCCAGCTGCAGACGTATGTGGAGCAACTGATGCCCCTGCTGCATGACAGTTGGCTGGAGGTGAGGCCGCAACAACAGCAGCCCCTCCTGCCGCCGGATGCCTCGGCTAGCCTCTACGTTGTGGTCAACCTGATAAGCCAGCTGTGGACGCTCATCAGCCAGCACGAGGCCGCGAACAGCACCAACGAGCTGAGCAACTGGCTCAGGCAGAATCATTCTAAAAAGTTTCTAAAGAACTTTATCGACCAGGACGGCCGTCGCTTCCCCTACCAACAGATGCCTCACACTCAGACGCAGGGCAAGAAAGAGAAGGCCAAAGACAAGGGTCCCGCCGACGGCGGCGAGCAGTGCCTGCCCCAGAACCTGGCCATCGTTCAGATTGCCTGCCAGTTTTATCCAGATCCTAGCGAGAAGCAGGCTCTGGTCTTTGGCCATCTCGTTCAGTACATAAACGAAACACTGAAGCGTCTGGAAAAGCTAACGCCGGAGCACCAGCTGCCGCTGGTCACCGCCCTACGTTCGCTGCTGCTGGAGAATGCGCTGGCGCTGCTTAATCTGATACCAGAGCAGTTGACGAGTCTCCTGGATGCCTCCATGCTGGCGTATGTCGAGCAACGCTATGCCACACGCGAGGGTGTGTCCACCAAGATGTTGAGTCTGCTGTGTGAGATTGTCCAGAACACGGAACTGTATGCCCGCTTTGGCGGTGAGGAGCGTTTCGCCATCTTCCTGGGCTATCTGCCGGAGCTGCTGCTCAAGCCAACGGTGGCCGAGGGAACGCTGCGTGCCATGGCCACCCTTTGCCGCCAGATGAACGGCGTTTTCATGACCGCCCTCGTGCAGAGTTCTGGTGATGTCCTTGGCCACCTGTCGCAGCTTCAGGTTACAGGCAATCCCCAAGGCGATGACAAGTTTGACAATCAGAAGCGCGTCCTCAACCTATTCTACTACGCCCGAACATGCGACAGAAAGAGCCAACTGAAGAAGGCTCTCAGGCAGCTGGCCAAGCAGCAGCCCGCCGATAAGGATGCTGAAGATGATTCCCCCACAAATGACCAAATTGTCAGCTACTTGAAGTCGGTGCTGGCCTATGACTAACCCTGGCCCCAAGGCCAGGCTGGTTCCACTTCCACCCACAAATATAGTTTCTAAATCTAGTTTATATTCTAATATATTTTCTTTCGATTATTGATGGAACATCTATTCAGGTCTTGTGCTTCTTTTGGGGCTTGGGCTTGAACCGATCCAGTACAGAGCGCGGGGGCTTTGGCTTGGCGTCGCCTGCCGACTCCTTGCTGCTGTGCTGCTTGATCACGCTCTTCTTGGCCTCCCTCACCTCCGCTATAAACTCCTGGAATAACGAAATAAAAACCAGACGTGGATTCAGTATGGATATGGATTGCAGGCGCAAATGCCACACTCACCTTTCGCTTGATATCTTTCACGATTTGCTTGTTGCGCGACGCCTTGGCAGTGCCGCCACGTCCCTTCATCTTGCGGCGCGAATTCATGCGTATGGCGGGCGGCTTGAGGTGGAATAGCTGTCGCTTGGCGTCGACCTTCTCCTGCAACGTGGGCGCATCGACGCCGGTGATCTCATTGGGATCCAGAGTTATCAGTTCGGGTGGAATCTTTTCGAGCAGGGCATGCACCTCGTGCTCGCGACGCTGCTTGGATGTCTCATAGGGATTGTCCTCGAGGGCATCGTAGTTGGGCTCACCGGAGCCGGGCACCAGCATCGAATGAAAGCCCTTGGCCGTCGACAGCCCCAAAACATCCTCGTAGGGACAGAAGCGCAGGCCATGCACAAAGGCATCACAGCGCTGACGGATATAGGGCAGCTTGTTCCGATCCCCAGTGCCGCCGCCGGTCAGCACATCCGTGTACGTCTCCAGATAGGTGCCCTGGGACAGGGCCAGCATGCCACGCTGCGACACATCCAGCTCGTTGGCGGGCAGACGCAGGTGGAAGAGTGCCAGGGGCTGGTCGTTGAGCATGCGGATGTCCCACACTTTGACGGTGCGATCCAGGCCAGCGGTGACCAGATGCTGGCCCTTGGGATCCACCGTCATAGCCGTCATCGCTGTCGAGTGGCAGAGCAGCTTCGCCAGCGGCTCACGCACCTTGGGCGACCACATGGACACGACTCCACGGCTGCCGCCCACACACAGGACACCGTTGCTGGGATTGTGTCGCAGCATCCGTATGTCGCCCAGGCCGGTGTTGAAATTGCCCACCAGCTCGCCTATGGAGACGTCCAGCCAGGAGGCATAGCCCGAGCTGTTGCCGGCAGCCAGAAGGAAGTGGTAGGGCAGAAAATCCAGGCGATTCACATTCGTCAGGCGCTTGACGCAGTGCAGCTCCGTGCCCTTCTTGTCGTAGAAGTAGACCCAGCTCTTTTGGGCCACCGCATACATGGTGGGCACGTGCAGCCACTGGACATCGGCCACGCTCTCCATCACATTGAATTCGCAGTGCAGCTTCTTGGTGACCCAATCGAAGGCGGCGACATGGCCTCGCCTGCCGCCCAAAAGCAGATGACGGCCGTTCTTTGAGTAGCGCATGGTGTATGGGCCGAACTCCATCTGGAGACTGAAGTGCTTGGACGCCGACTGCAGATCCACATTGGCGGCAATCTGCTCCTGACGATACTCGGCCGTTATCTCGCCATCATCGGCCCCCAGCTGGCCGGCGGTCTCCTGCAGCAGCAGCTCTGTGCGTGCCGCCTGCTCTGTGGCATAGTCCAGGTACACCTCCTTGCGCTCTTGCTGCTCCTTAAAGTGACGGGTCTTGACGCCGCGCGCCTCTACCTTTTCGCCACGTGAGTATTTGGCCAGCAGCTCCTGTGGTACGTGGCTCTTTTGGGCTTCGGCTGGGTCCGACGCCTCGGCCTTGACCTTGTTGGGACGTAGTGGCTTCCTGGCTTTGGACTGCGTTTGCATTTTGATGAACTCCCCCACAAAATTTTGTTGATTTCGGCGCTTCAATTTCACTGGTTGCAAGCCCGCGGCGTCGCCATCGGCGGCGGCATTCTCTGTGTCGAAGTAGCGTTTGTGGGCTACCTTGGGCTTTGGACGCCCTTTCGGCGGAGCCTTGGACATGATGCCAAAACAGAAAAATTTTAAAAAACTCTTAAAAACAAAACGAAGTTCTTTTAAAACAACGTGCTCGTGCTGCTTCTTCCTCTTCCCAGGGAGTAACAGCTGCGCTCGATAACCACCGCTAATAATCGATAGGAAAACTTGTTGAGCTTATCGAAAATCAAATTTAATTTTATTCAATTATTTAAAGGCTAATTAAATGAAGGTTCTTAATATTATGGCAACGAAAAGACATCAAAATACATTTTAGGCTTAATCAGAAAACGCTTTCAAGGTCTTTTCCACTAACTGTAGACGGTTTTAAGTGTTTTAAAGTTGAGACTTAATTTGGTACGTTACTCGTTAGACGAATTTGAAGATTAACGCCACATCAGTCTATGGGAAGCGTAACATAATCTAGATTCTAGAACAAACTAATAGACACGTCCATAGGGCAGTGCATTGGGATAATACGGCATTAAGAACTTGCCCCCAAAGCGGGGCTGGGACTGGGCCGATTCGCTGCTCGAGGAGAACATTGATGTACAGATATCGGCACGATCCCGATGTAGGCGGCTGCTGCTGTTCGACGTGCTCGTTCCGGCCATGCCCGTACCCGTGCCAGTGCCAGTGCCACTGCCCAGTCCCAGTCCCAAGCCAAATCCCAATCGAGCGCCATGACGACGCTCTCGGCGACGAGTTCGTATCAGTGAAAAGATGGCCACAATGACGGCCACCAGAAAGATCAATCCCAGAATACAGAAGGAAATGGCCAGCTTCGAGATGGACAGACAGAGAGTGCCCTCGCCCGGCAGGGGTCGCACATGGGGTGGATAGTCCTCCACTGAAATTAGCCCATGCAGTGTAAGTGGTCGGACGCGGGAATGCTACACTGCATTGCTGCGCGGTGTTGTTGCACTTACCGCTCATGTTGTACCGCCGGTCGTAGCGCAGGCGATCCACTTCGATTTGCGGCGCAGTCACGGCCAGCGAGTTGAACACCTCAATGCGTGCCAGGTGCTGGTCGGCACTCAGCTGCAGCTGCTGCTGCTGCTGCTCGGCGAGGCGACAATTCAACTTGAAGAAGAAGATTCAAAAAATCAGAGTTATATTCGAATGTGTAATGGGGTGACAGCGCAGCAAGTGGCTGCCCTGCTGCCTCCTCTATTCAGCTTCAGTTGAGTGCGTTTTGGTGCAATAACCACATTAATTAGCAGACGCAACAGCACTAAATCCTAACACGCTACGCTGGGCACTGCAGTGCCGGCGCCTTGCCCAGAAGAAGAAGCCGGCAGTCAGGCAGCACTGCAGCAGGCAACACTTTCATTTTTCATTGCAACCAATTGGTATGAGATGCATATATTGGGGCCTTGCTTTGACTGCTATATGGGGCTGGTGGTACTTACATTCGGACACTTCCCCTTGCATAGCTGCACGCCACAGCTAACATGAAGGCGCTCGCGATCGGGAAACTTGAAGGCGGGAAATGTGGCCGCAAACGTTCGCTCGACCAGATCTTCCTCCTGCTGCTTTGACCAGCCCTCCTCTGCGGGCTTGTGGTGTGTGTGCAGAGCGGGCATTACCTGCAACAGTCACAGAAAACAAGTGACACTTTAGACCGAGTCTCGGGTCAACACTTTTTCGGGTGTTCCTGAACCTGTCTCTGTCTCTGTCTCTGTCTCTGCCCCTGAACCTGAACCTGAACCATTACGTTTTTAATGGGTAGTGCAGTGTATGTGTGTACATGTTGTTTTATGATCGCTTATACAATACGATGAGCATGTGTATGCCGGTGACAAAATCCCGCGCTAACCATTCTCTCACACCGCTCACATTTGGCCATTTCCGTTACGTGCGTACTCGTACCAGAAACGGTAACAAAAGTCATGTTTTGTAGCCAAGTTCAATGGCAGATTGAGATACAGATGGAGATACAGATACAGATACAACATAGTAGTACGAGCTGCGGAGGTTCGGAGGTGCAGACGTGCTGTGTTTTCCGTAGTGCAAATGTATGAAATTACAAGACAATGTGATTTACATCTCTCATCTCGTCTTCCAGCCCATTGTTGCTACCGCGTTGGAAAAACGGAAAGAGGGGACCCCCGGTGGCACGTTGATTAGCCTGGTGATGATGTCTGGTTTCAATTTACAAGACCCCCAAAGAGCACGTGTTGCCGCATGTGTGGGTGGGTGGGTGGTTGGGTTGTGTGGATGGGATGGTTGTGTGACTGCGAAACTTGAGACAATAACAATAAGAGCAAATTGTTGAGGAAGTTCAAATGAGTTCACGTGCAAAAAGATGGTAAATATGTAACCAAGTGTAAAGTGGATCGAAACGGATGAAAAAGTGATGAACTTTTTTGTCTTCCGGCCACTGAAATTATCGTTGGTATAAACTATGCATAGATAGGGGTTGGACTAGAACTGCAACCAGTTTCAATTGCAACAAAATATTATCAATTTTCACGCAGTTAATTTAAAAACCATTTAAAATTCAAATTCTCATCGTAATTGGGTTGCAGGATCTATCGACATTGAGTATCAGCTGTCGTCATAGCGGTTGAAGCAGTGCGGACTGCTTGCATTGTTGTTGTTCTTGTTGTTGTTGTGGGTCACATTCTCGATATAAAACTGTGCCATCGCTGCGCGCGCGCGCACATCAAACAAAAGACAAAAGTTTTTATTTCACTTTTCTTCCACGCTCTGACCCAGAAGTGTTTCTAAACCAAACAAATCAACTTGTGATGGTAGTGCGCATAAATTTGCGATCTGTTTGCGTGGCGGTAGGGCAGGCAGGCGAAGGGGCAACGCAAAAGAAAATGAAATGTGCTAAAACGGAAGGTAAGTCCAAGAAGACAACACAAGACAGTGGCTGAGGAAGAGGCAGAGGCAGAGTCAAACAATAAAACAAACATAAAATGCAAATGGTTTCATCTGTAGTTGTTGTTGTTTTTGCTGCTGCTGTTGTGTTTTTTTTTGTCTTCATTCCGTTAAAATAAAACAAAAATTAAGCCGTGAGATTTTTTTTGTTGGTGCTTCTCCAATGCAAAGGCAACAATGGAGAAGAGAAGAGCAGCATGGCAGCGTCAGAAAAAGATTTGTTTGACCCATTTAAGGCCGCAAATGAATGACATGTGCATAAAGCTGCGACGCCGCCGCTACCACCGCGCCCCCAGATGGAACGGAACGAAGAGGATAGAAGACCAAAATGCAAATGGCCGGACTGGCAATGCCATTGCCATTGCCCCTTTCCGCTGCGTTCCGCTGGCTATGGTGCTGGTGCCGGTGCTGGTGCTGTCCGGGGATGGGTGATGGAGATGGAGCAACACCGCCAACAGAAACAACTCTTGATGTCAAAATGCTAAACGATAAATATTTCTATGTATTTCACTGTTGGCTAATTGTTGTGACCTCCTAATTTACTCAAGAAGAACTGAGGCAAGAACGCAGAGAACAGTTCGCAGGCGTTTGTTTTAGTTGTTTTTCGTAGTTTCTTTAATGACTTTTAAGTGGGGGAGGGGGGGAAGGTGGTACGTCGCGGCTCGACTCCACTGCTTGGCTGGGCAACGAAAACTGTTCTAACGATGATCGCGTAATTATGGCTAACAGTTTTGCTGCCTTTTGCCTTCACATTTAATGCCGCGCGCGGTCTGTGCTGTAATAACTGTTACAATTAATGAGGCGGCGCTGCTGCAGTCTGCCGAGTGTGTGTGTGTGTGTGTGTGTAGTTTGTGTGTGTGAGACAGAGAGTGAAAAACATGTTTTGGGGATGTGCAAGTCCCAACCCAATATTGATTGTGGGAGTTCCCGGGAACCTGCAATCGATTGTGGGAGTGAAAAGAGATGATCGGCCCATGATATACTCTCCCCGACATACTCTCTAAGATGTCTGCGGTCTGGTCTGTCCGTCTATAAAAATGAAAGTTAAATGCGATCAATCGTTGATCGCCCCACAGCATCAGCATCAGCATCAACAACAGCAGCTTTAGCTTCATTAATTAATGACTTTTTGTGTTGTCTCGTCTGAGTCTTGTCTCTTTGGTCTAACGGTTAATCACATATCTACCCCCCACTACCCCTCTCTCTCTCTAAATCTCTTTCTCTTTCTATGTCTTGTAGAATGTGTCGCCGTTGGCGCTGGTTACGCAAATGGTTGGGGGGGAATCTCCGTGAGACTGCAGTCAGCCACTGGGACTGCTGTACTCACCTGCTCGTCAATGGGACAGCCGCGTGCATCGAGCAGCTGCTGCGTGGACTCTCCCAGTCCATCGAGTGCCGCACAATCCACCACACGGACCCCGATTGTGCCGGGCACTATGGCGCGTACGGTTAGGGTGGTGGGCACGCCCACTTCCACAGAGCCAGTGCCATTGGGACCGCCCAATTCCAGCCAAATGCGAACGCGCGGCGTGTCCATATGATGACTGTGATGATGATGATGATGATGATATTATGCTGAGGCGCTGTAGAAGGGGCCGTGGAGGGAGGCCGGATGGATGACAGACGCAGCAGCCAAGGCACGCATTCTTGCATTCCTGCAATGAATATGGATATGTCTATGGCTATGGATATGGATACAGATTGGGAATTAATTTGGCTTACCTCTCCCGGCCACTGTCCGTGCGCAGAGCTGTTGCTGCGGGCAGCGGCAGCGGCATGCCCATGGCCTTGGCCGGCAGCTGACACCTAACCGAGCTGAGGATGTCCGTGCTTTGGCGCAGCTTTTGCTCCATCTGGAGCATCACCCTCACCGTGTACTCTATGCCGCCGTCGGCCAGCGGATCGGCACGTACGCCACAGCCGGAGGTGGGGATGCGCAGCTGCAGGTGCGTGGAGTCTTTGCCGCGGGAACGGCACTCCAGCGGGAAGTCCTTGGCATAGAGCAGGCCGCGAAATGGTCGGCTCAGCAGCAGCTGCATATCCAGCATTTCCCTACTGCAGTTCACTTGCAGCCGCTGGATTTGCATAGATGCGACTGGAGATGGAGCTAGGGTTGGAGCTGGGGTTGGGAAGGTGTCAGTGGATGTGGATGTAGATGTGGAAGTGGCAGTGGTGGCAGCGGTTAGCGTCGTTCTGGTTGCCCAGCTAGCATGACACACAAATTGCGGCAGATGCAGCAGGCCGATAACGGCGGCAAGTGGCAGCAGCCCGCGGTGGAGGCCAAAGCCAAAGACGAAGACGAAGAAGAACATGTTTCCGATTTCCCGTTTGCCGCCGGCCCAGGCCCGCCCCGGCGATGAAAACCGCAAATGATGATGCTACCTGCTGGATCTACCAACACCTGTTGCTGTTGTGTCCAGTTGATGAAGCGTGTGGCAGGGTGGTGGGGGGGGAGGGGGTGGCTGTGTCGTAATTGGCCTACTCCGAGTGCGAAGAAGAGAATCTGGTCGCGTCTGGTTGGGTCGTCTGCGAAATAGAAGATGATGGAAATGTACAGCTTTAGTCTTTGCTGAACTGCACTCGATTAAATGGAAATTTGCAAATGGGCAGACCTAATAGCGATCCCCAAATCCCCTGCCCATCACGATGCCAATTCCGATCCGAAAGCGGGTCAAGTTTGTCGCGCGTCCCAGTGAGTGATTGGGAGAGTGATGTTGCAGCACCGGCGAACAAATAAATAAACCAAATAAATAAATGCGATAAAAGCCAACAGGCAGAGCTCAAATCAACATCAACATAATGCGTTTGCAACTTTGCGTAATCCCCCCACTTGATGCTGGCTGGCTGCTGGCTCACTGGCTCACTGGCTTGTTTGTCCATTTTTTTTGTGTCTTCTATTTGTGTTGTGAGCTTCGCGTCGCGTCTCTTATTAGCTCAATTTTGTTTGCATTTGGCTATTGTAATCATCCTCCCAATTAACAATAAAACTTTGAATGTGCCATCCCAGCCTCCCAAAAAGGGGAAGTGAAGACAACAAGACAACCTTTCAAAGTCAAACATAAAATTTGCTTACCTTCCTGCCCTTCACTATTGTTGGGGGGAACAATTTGAAAATTAATCCTTAATGTTTGTTTGTTTTTTTTATTCTCAATTCCTGGTAATAATTTTATTTATTTATTTTTATACACTTAATTTTCCGCACAGCACAAACAACAACAGCAACAAAAAAAAAAAAACGGTATTCTTACACAAGTTTGCGGTCAATTCAAATGGGGAAAAAATAACTGAGAGAACCGCAATTTTGGAATTGGCTGATTATAGCCACTACGCATGCGATCGCTTCACAGGCTTAAGATGTGTGAAAAAAAAAAAATTAAATTACTAGAGAAAACGAATTTGAAGATGAATAAGTCAAGCCACGGCAAACGCGCGCCACCGAGTGTGCAAATGCAATGCAGTCGGTGTAGAGCGATACGATTCAAGAAGTTAGCCAAGTTAGTAGTCGGACGCTAACCGCAAACGTGATGGAAGAAGCAGAAGACGAGACGTCGTGGCTACGCATGCTCTGTGATTTGGCGGGTCGAGATCAGACCGTTCAAATGGCTTACTATCGATACTTGGCGGCAGTTCGATGACTTTTTCGGAAACATCGCTAGATTTGGATTTTTTCTTCGCAACATCTGGCAACATTTGAATGTTTACATATTCGTTTCTGTGAACATTTTTCCAGTTCCAGTTCAAATCCAGCTCCGAATTAAGTTGGATTTCAAAATGAACAATAATAATAATAATAAACTATAAATCAAATAAAAATTAATATTAATATTAAATTGAAATATATCAATACCAAATTTTTTCTGAAACGTATTATTCTTCGCTAGGGTCTCTGTCGAATTTTACATGAATATGTAGTTAATTTTTAACAAATGTGTAGTTAGCGTGTAGTAACCATGTAAAACATCGACTTTGCCATCAAAATACCATTTTCAAATGACCGCCAAACTAAATTTAACGCACAAAAAATACCGACATTTTGCGATCTCAAATCGTGGTGGAATTCAAAATGGTGGTGAACTAGCTAGTACTTTAAAACTGAATATCAAAACATGGAATACGATTTCAATCAATAAAATAGAACGTTATCCCACTGTCGACAAGGGGGGTATTTAATATTTCCACGAAATTTATGTTACTTTAACATATTTTACGCATTACAGGTGAGAGATGTCGGTGGTCATTTTTGTCTTGTAAGTAAAGATGAGGATGGAGCTACAAGGAGCCTTTACAAACAGTATTATTTTCCGCGGTTGAGCAAAGGGTGCTCAACTTAATAAATAAAGGGCTCTTAAGTGGGTTATCGCACTTATGGTATATGGTATGTTATTTAAATGGTATTTCTCGAAACAGAAATTACTGGTATTTAGTGGTATTTATTTTTTGGTCGGATGGTATTTTCTATCGTTATCGGCGCGGTCACGCTAATTCACATTTCGTAGTCGTCAATTTCCCGTGTAAATTGTAAATAATATAGAATTTCGGGAAACGAATCAACCGAAATTCGTACCGTATCAGATGAATCTGGATATGTCTGAGATAATTGAGTTTGTGCTGCCTCCAAGCGACTATCCCAGTGAGGACAATGTCATTTCTGTGGGAAATGTGGGTGCCGTCAACGAGGACGCTACCTATGTTGTTTTGGACGGCCTGAGCAATGAATACGATGAGGATTTTCTCATCGTCAACGAGGAGCTCCACGAAGATGAGATGCAGTTGGAGGAGCCCGATCTTGACCAGCAGCTGGACAACGATCAGCAGCAGCAGCAGCTCTTGCCGCACGAGCAGTATGTGGTGACGGAGCTGGCGTCCGAAATGGATGAGATGGTCGAAGAAGACGACGACAATGAGTTCGAGCAGTACTACAAACAACCGGCTGTTTTCGAAGGGACAGAGGAGCCCGAGGCGGAGACAGAGCCGGAGCTGGAGCCAGAACCAGAGCTGGACCAAGACTCTTCTCTGGACCCCGAGCCCGAGCACGAGCCCGATCTGGAGTTTGTGCCCTCGCCAGTGCCAGTCAAGAAATTCAAAGCCAACCCGCAAAGTCTCATACGCACCTACAACACCTTCCTCGACGAGGAAGAGCCCGCACAGTATGTGGAGCCCAGCAAAAAATTGCTGGACGTGTTCAAGGGACCTCGCCGCTATCTGCTATTTGACGACCTCTTGGCCACAATAGTCGACTTCGATGAGAACACCACACCGATTGTGGAGTTTTCAATGACCACCGCTTTGCTGGACGACAAGCTTCCCGTCGAGTGCGGCATATGTCCAGATGTGATGCACAAGTCCAAGCTGTCCAAGCATCAAAAATTGCATCTGGTACCTGGAACCAATCGTTATTCTTGCATCTACTGTGCGGAAACGTATCGTGATTGTAAATACCTGGCCGGTCATGCCCGCCGACACATGGGCATACGTCCGTACGTCTGTCACGTATGCAAATTGTATTTCTCTACCAAGCAGGATCTGCGTGTACACAACCAGCGACGGCACCAGAAGAAGGAGCACGTCTGCGAGCTGTGCGGCAAAACGTTTGCCCAGAACACGCAGCTCAAGCGCCATCGGGAGGCTACGCACGAGAAGAAGCGTCGTTTCCAGTGCCAGAGCTGCCAGAAGGCCTACTACAAGAATTTCTCACTGCAGGAGCATATACGCAACGTGCACATGGGCAAGCGTCGAATGCTGAAGTGTCCCTTCTGTGGTATGCAGTGTCGCGACGCGCACAAGATGGCTCGCCATCGCAAGGAGATGCACCTAAACCAGGACTCGTTCGTGTGTCACCTGTGCCAGGAGGAGTTTACCGACATCAACTATTTCGATGCGCACAAGCGTTCCATTCAGTGCCGCACCAATACAAAACGTTTTGTCAAGGAAGTACATCCGGGGGCGTCCGGCTCCGGCGACACAAGTGGACTGGCTGAGAACGATGAGGACGCAATGGGGGGCATGGAGGACGAGTTCGATGAGGATGCTGGTCTGCTGTTCGAAGAGACGAATCCCGATGACCCCGATGGAGGTGAATATGCCAGTGGTACCTATTTCCAAGAGGTTGATCCGCGCTATGTCCAGATATCCGACTACGATGGGCAGATGGTGGAGGGTGTTGTGCTGCACGAAGAGGAGCCAGAAGAAGAGTCTTTCAACGAGCAAAAATACTATGCCACAATGCAACAGAAAAGCCAGCCAGAGCATTCCGTTGAACAGGAAGTGAACACCGATGAGCTGATTTATGAAATCACTCTGAAGACTGAGGATGATAATTAGGAAGGTGGTGTAGACGGCCTAATACACCCCTATCCACACACTCCCCCCCCACCATCCCACTCACACACATGTTTTCCGCACATTTGGGCAGTATGTAAATAGATTAAAATTGAACATACATAAATAGGTGCATAGCCTATCAATCAAAAACAAAACAAAACAAAAGGCAGAAATACATTTAATGAACATTCAATAAACAACTTGGACTGTAGCAGCAGGGCTGTATTCGACATGGCATCAGAGTGCCAGAAATGCAACCTCGCTGACGCAGGGCGGCTTAGGATAAATAATGCTAAAATCGGTCAGAATCAGAATCATTGACAAGGATAAAGGAATCAACGCTTGCAGAGCAGGGCAGCCATTACTCGGCAAATTGAAAATTTTCCATTCATTTGCCATTCGCAGTGCCCAGACTGGATGACGTCAACGAGATGTAAATTCAATACATCCAAATGTACTGTACTATTTGCGATACTATCGATAGTTGCGGGGAATGCGACTTGTCGCACGACGGCACAAGCAAAAAACAAACGCCATATGAAAATTTTAATGTGAGGCGAAAACAAACAAAAAATGTTACTACCGGGAGCCTGGCAACCTTTGATCCTTCGATCAAACAACTATTTTGAGCATAACACAGCGCTGGATGTCGGAAAGCAGCTAACCGAAATTTCCAACAGAGCAAAGCCAAAGACAAAGCCGAGATTCATCTACAGATTTGCGATTGAATCATGGATGAAGACGATGAAGTCGAGATCAATGCAGAGACGGATCTGCTCAGCGAGCCCAGTCACGGCGAGGAGGAGGAAGTCGAGTCGGATGCCGAGGCCCTGGACAGCTGGGAGACCTTCCACGAGCACATAGATGCCCTCATCGTAAACGAGCATTGCGATGTACCCGTACGCAAGCTGGACGAACGTCGCCGGACTGTACTGAACCGGGTGCGCAATCAGTTCCAGACTGCACCGAAGGGAACAGCCGAGCGTTGTGCCACAGAGAAGCCGCTGATCGATCAACAGCTGGAGTTGTCCAGCCAGCGGCTGGATGAGCTGGTACGCTTCGGGGATGAGCTCGTCACCAATGTGCGGGTGGCGAACGAGCGGCGTGAGCTGAACCGGCGGATGTTCGAGGCCACGCAGCAGGCCCAGACACAGCTGAAGCTGCAGCGCGAGAGCATCGAGACAATGGCCAAATTCGAGGACATTAAGGCACGCTGGACGGAGCTGGAGGATATCAACGAGCCGATGATGCTCTGGGACCAGATCGAGGACCAAAAGAAGCGCATCGCCGAGATAATGCAGCGCAAGGATGAGATGATTGACGCATGCCAGAAGGAGGTCGATCGCATAAATGCCAAATACGACTTCGACCGGGAGCGCCAGTCCCAAGACCTGTGCTGCCTGGTTGAGCGCGTCGACCACCAGGTGGAGGTGCTAAAGGAGGCCTACAAGCAGCATCTGCAAATGCTGCGCCACACCATCGAGGAGGAGCGCCAGCTGTTCGCCGTCAGTGCCGTGGAGAAGTGGCGCACCTTCTTCGATGCCCTCAACAAGAACTTTGATGAGAAGGCCAATTTGGTGCGCACCCGCCAGCAGTTCTACGCAAATCAGACCCAGCACATCAACGCCTCCCAGGAGGAGTTGACCAAGAGCACACGCATCCGCCTGGAGAAGGAGTGCGAACGCCTGGAGCTTGAGCTGCGACGCACGCGCGACAACGTGCTGATGAACTCGGAGAAGCTCGACTACAACTACCAGGTGCTGCAGAAGCGCAACGAGGAGAACGTGATCATCAACAACCAGCAGAAGCGGCGGGTGGCCCGCCTCCATGAATCGATTGGACGCATTCGTCGCAGCCTGAAGAATCTTCAGCTGTCGGGCAAGCGGAACATAGAACGTCTGTCGCAGGACATCTATAAGCTGCACGCCAATATCCACGATATGGAGACGAAGGCCCACCAGGCGCGCCTCAACAACAAGGAGAAGTTCAACCGCATCTGGGAGATCAACTTCAAGGAGCTGAATCTGCTTGTGGATCGTGTCTATCACATCGACCGCATTATTCACGAGCAGCAGCTGGCCCTAAACTGGCAGCGTCCCATTCCACCGATACTGAACATCAACAGGGCGCGCCAGAAGCACAACAACGTATTGGAGCGATTCGATTTGCGTATAGGTCGGGTGCCCAAGAACCGGGTGCTCAACAAGAGTGGTGGCAAGTTCAAGCCGGACATCAAGGAGCTGCCAATTGAGTCGTTGCGTCTGATGCGCAACTTGGTCCGAAAGCTGGCGGATCGTGGTGGCTTTCTCATCGAGCAGCGCCTAATCAAGATACTCGAGCCGTATTCGGAGGAGGACAAGTGCCTGGTGCGACTGGACAACATATTTGCTGCTCTGCGAATTCAGCGTCTGTCCGATGTCCAGGAGCTGACCCAGGTATTTCTGCCCTATACTTACTGTCCCAACTGTCAACCGGGCGGACTGAGTCCCCGCAAGTGCGCCGAGGTCTTCATGAAGCATCAGAAGTCCAGCCGACTGGACCCAGACGCGCAGGTTCAACAGGACGAACAGGAGCTGCATCGCGAACAGGAGCACCATTCGGATACGTTCAGGGTGAAGGGTCATGTGACGACCAAAGTCTGCAAGAATCACTATCTGGTGATGGAGCCGGCCCTGTGCTTGCACGCCATGAACCTCTACACGACCAAGATGCACAAACACATTTACCACAGCCTGCCCGGCCGCCAATCGATTGCTGTCAACTTAATCCAGTTTACCGACGATGATATACGCAAATTCTGGCGCAAGTTTGCCGGCTGCTTCCCAGCGGCCAAGTGCAAGCTGTGGAAGACGCTCGAGCATGGCCTCAATCACTACGTGGAGGTGCTGAAGATGCGTGTCCAGTACGATGCGGAGGTTGTGTTCCTGCGACGCCAGAACGAGGAGCTGCGCCATCTGCTGCAGAAGTTCAAAGTATAATCTTTAACATTACCATACTCATATCACACACACACACATAATTGATGCCATTTTCGATACCCTTTTTCGCTCCAAATTAAGTAAGCTTCACTTTGCTGGCTCTCTCGAATCCTTCGATTCACATCTTTCGGTCTGCGCTTGATAAATTCTGATTGTGCTTTTCCCAGCCCAGCCATCGCTCCAGCTTTGATCACCGTTACATGGAAACACACACTTTAAAAGCTCTCCCCGTGCGACTGCACTTGTACAATACCCAACGCAACGCAAAAATATTCTCGCGAGTATTTGTTGGATTAAAGATCAAGCCCTGAGCTGGATTTCTCTAATCTGCACTAATTTGCACTTTTGATCTGTTCTCTGATCTGGCGCTCGATAAATTCTAACGTCTGCTTTGCCCTGCCCTGCCTCTTTTTGCTCTTTGACATCGTGCCGTCCCGCTCTAAGCTGTGGCTAAACCAAAACATTGAAACCAGGCATTACACTACCCAACACATTATCTGATCAATTGTAAACATCATTTGCGATAGGGATAGGGTATATAGAGGCCATGATATTATATAAATGGAATAACACGGCAATTGTAATCATTAATTTGTGAATAAATGATTCAACTTTTAGTTTTTGCTTACCCATTAAATATTCTTTTAGTAGAGATATTCCCACCAGCCTTTGTGGTGGTATTTTTATAGTATATAAGCTTAAGATAAGGTAGGAAAAGTATAGAAATAAATAAATTAAAACAAAGTTAAGACTTTGTATATATATGCTAGCCAAAGTAATGATTGATCTCAAAACAGTTCTTTGAAGATAATCCCAACGAATCCCAATTGAATTTGGATCTGCCATTAAAACGAGCGCAGCCTTAGCAATCGTCTGGTACCTGAAAGCCGCAAAAATGCTGCTGCATAGTGTTATTATCAGCTTATGATAAAGTGGTGCCCCTGGGCCGCCTGCCTGCCATAAAGTGTTGGTGCTGCCGCCGGCACTGGGCTGGGATCGGCGCTGTTGCGGTGCTGCCGATGGATTGTCCATTCAATTGGCTCAAAGTGCACGGCGCGCAGCGCACGAAACAACAAATAAATGTTTAAAGTGCAAATAAACGGCATTTATCGGTGAGTTTTATTGGTCAGCATACGATAAAATTAACAGTCGCCGATCCGATCTGATCCGCTCGTTGAAGGCTGCTGCTTCTGCTGGTGGGGCGTCGCGGCGACGCTGGCGGTGTTTCCCGGTGTTTAAACCAGCCAACGGTTGTAATATTAGTACACATAATTAAACAGAAGCGTAATCTTATCATCGCTCACTGCTCGCTGTGTTTTGTCGTTTTGTTTCGTTTCTGTTACTTTTGTGAGGTGTCGCGACACACAGCACGCAACAACGCAAACTGAAGCCCATAATGAGACAGCAGCCGACGATTATTCCTTCCAGCCAATTGGTGTCCATTGCCGCCGCCGAGCAGGAGATGGCCGCCCTGGCAGCATTGGCCCGGCAAAGGGCGGCGGAGCAGGCCAACTACTCGGACTGCCTGGAGGATGTGCAGCTGTTTGCCCAGCTGGATGAGCTGAGGGGCTACGACGACACTGATGACATGGAGATGATGTCGCCTGGCGCAGACTTTGACCTGATCGATCTGGTGAACGGGGTGAGCTCTTCCACTCAATCCAGACAGGACCATAACCAAGCAATCACACACCACACAGGCCCTAGATTCCACTGGCAATCCCACGCGACTGCAGAACAAGCCCCAGCGGAGCACTAAACAGCGGCAGCGATCACCGCATGTTTGCGACGTGTGCGGCAGACGCTTCTCGGAGGCCTACAACCTGCGCATACACAAGATGACGCACACGGACGAGAAGCCGCACGTTTGCGATGGCTGCGGCAAGGGGTTCCGGCAGTTGAACAAGCTGCGCATCCACTATGTCACCCATACGCCGGATAGGCCGCACAAGTGCGACATATGCGGCAAGGGCTTTCGCTATGCCAACTACCTGGCCGTCCATCGTCGTCTCCACACTGGCGAGAAGCCGTATTCGTGTTTGGTCAAGGAGTGCGATCTGTCCTTTCACTCAATTCATGCACGTCGCATCCACACCAAGCTGCAGCATGCGGCGCCCGCTCAGTCGGATGCCGAGCAGGAGCAGCCACTAACTGCGTTGGAGGCGATCACAGGCACTTCATCGCTGAGCTACACCTGCCCCATCTGCGGCCGAGTGCTCACAGATCAGTGCTACCTGAATACGCACCTGAAGCGGCACTACAACCAGCGTGACTTTCCCTGCCCACAGCCGCAGTGCGGCAAGCGCTTCTTCAGCTCGTCGGAGGTGAAGCATCACCAGATCGCCCACACCCAATATCGGCCGTACGCGTGCACCCAGTGCCCGGCCCGATTCCTAAGGAAATCCAATTACAAACAGCATTTGAAGATCCATGAGCGCTGAGACGCGCGAAGCGGGAGAGAAGAGTCCAGCATCTGATTGTTTGTTTGCCTTTTGGGTTTGGTTTTGGTCTTGGTCTTGGTTTAGCTTTGGCTTTTTGTTTGTTTTTTAATTGATGTAAGTGTTTATTTAAATATACGTTCCATATGTTTGTCTTTATCTGTATGTTTTGTATATTAGATATATCGGTATATATATATATATATATGTATATGTATATACTTGTATTTATACGTTATGTATATGTACGGTATGGGTAGGTTAGGGTAGGGTATGGGTCTCCCTACCGTTGATCTGACTGTTTTAAAGGGCTCTCCTCTTCCTGCTGTTGTTGTTGTTGATCTCTGTGTGTGTTGTGTGTAAGCATAACTTATAGATTAAATTACAATTACATTATTTTGTGTGGGGATCTGATCTCTACCAAGAGTATACATACAATATATAAAAACAAGCGATTGGTTTAGCTTAAATTATAATCGTTAAGGGGCGTTTTGTTTCCGTGTCGATTTCCAATCGTGATTAGATCCATCTCATATCATTTATTCGGTTCATGTTCATGTTCATTCAACGATGACAAAAGCAACAAAATAAAAACCACTCGCATACAAAATATTTTTGGTTGATTGATATAAAAAAAAAAACAAAGTAAAACACAAACAAAAAATAAAGAAATTAACTTACATCTAAAACTGGGTTCGGGGGATCTCACTAGAAGCCTAGACAAGCAAAATGTAATTACATATTATAGATGAAGACTTAAAAGCTATGACCCAAGAAAGAGCGCACACTTGCCACAAGCAAAATCAGAGTTAAGTTCGGCGACAGCAGTGTGGGGAGGTAGTACAGTCCATGTACGTGATGGGTGTGTGTATATTGAATTTCTGAGCATACCGAGAGAGTGTAAATTGTAATTGACATTTGAGCTATGGTTCTATTCCTTACAGAATAAATGCAGTTTTTGAAATTGTGTACAGCTCTCTCTCTCATGCTACTAGCATTTACTAGGAGCAGGCGGAGAGGTTTCCCCATTTGGTTGGCTACTTTTGGTTATTTGTGGTTCGCTCATTTTGTTTGGGGCAAGTGCTTTGCATGTACATATATGTATCTACGACTAACAAAAGTTGTTTTTTTTGCATGCTTAAATTTGTTTGTTGGTTTAGTTCAAGAGTTTCTTCAACACACACACACACGCACACACACATGCAATCGAAACGTTTAACAACCATCAATCAAATATGACATTTCCCATCTCAATTGTCCCACGTTCCCAAGTGGCAACAGGTCCCCTCTCCATTGTCCAACCGATTATCCTGTGTCTATATATATATAAATTTGTTCCTGCCTTCCCTTCCCTTCCCTCCTTCTTCTGGCTTTCTCTGGTGTTTTATGTACAATATGTAGCGTGTGGGGGCTCTGATTTCTGTTCTGTTCTATTTTGTATGGTTTTTGTTTTATATTTTTGTGTGTGTAAGCTTCCAGCTTGATAAATCCCAGTTTCTGTTCTTCATTTTTGTTCCACTCTCTCTCTCTCTCTCTCTCTCTGTCTCTGCTCTTTTCTATATAGCAAATATATATTCCAAATCACCGATTTATATGTATGTTTGTTTGTTTTGCTTCTTTCACAAAGAATTTCGACTGTCGCTTCCAGCGCTAATCTCCCGTCCCCCACCACACACGCATGGGGGTTTCCGTACTCTTTGATCCTGTTTTTTGTGTATCATAAAATATATGTCTCGGTTTTCCCGAAGCTGCCTGGATTATATTATCGAAAAAAAAAAAACTGCAACATCTCTCACGTTTCCACCTACACAATATAGACCCTAAAACATGTATAGACCCTCTCATATATGTATATACGTTTCTAAAGATATATGCATCTGCTGCATATCTGCTATATGTAGTATGTGTGAGTGTTTGTTCTCTTTGTATATGGGATATACATATACATATCTGAATCTGTTTTTGCATCTACTTTTGGCGCTTTTCATTCATTTTTGTATGCCTGAAAACTTATTTCCTATGTGCTCTGCTGCCTCACGATTGCCGATTGCCGATTCCCGGTTCCAATTCCCCTTCACGCTCAAAAGTATGCAATGCAATGCACTGCAGATTCTGGGAATGGGAACAGGGAACAGGGAACGCCCTACATTTTTGTGTGTTGCGTTAGGTCTTCTACGATCCTAGGCTGCCTACGACATGGAGCTGCAGGGCAGTCGCGGCGATCCCATTTGGGTGAGAACGCGATCCAGCCACTGGAGCGGCCCATTCAGATGCAACTCAATCCAGCAGGGCGTTGACGTGACCGTCTGGCGGCGATACTCGGCTCCCCAGCCCTTCACGAAGGACATTCGAATGGTGCACATGCGTGTCAGCTGGTAGACGGCCTCGAATCCCTGCGACACGGACTGGGAGAGAAGGGCGGCAAACTCCTGATTGTTGAAGATCTTCAGATTACAGCCGGGCGGGATTTTACAAACGGTGGCCGGATGCCAGCCGTAACGCTGATTGCAGTTCGGACTCTGCACGAATATGGACGAATCGCTGAGGCATTCGGCAAAGACCTCGCCCCCAATGTAGTAGAGGCGAACGCCCTTGCCGATGTGACGGCGTGTCTGCTCGACGACATCGTTGCGATTCACATTGGAGAGCAGACCGAGACAGAAGCGCTCCGAATTGGAGGGATCTGTGAAGCCGTCCACCGTAATAGAGGGCTGGGAGGCATGAAAGGTCTCGCCGACCCGCGTGTTCAGCTCGTAGTAGGAGATGGAGCACCAGAAGGCTGGCTCGTGGTACATCACTGGGGCGGCATCGGCGGGCGGCGTCAGGCGCGACATGTTCATGTTGTCATTGGGATCGATCGGGTCCCCATCCTCGCTCATGTAGCCGGGTGGCGGGGTGCCCGTGTTGGGAATGCTGCTGCCCACACTGAGCACGCTCGACTGCGAGTCCATGTTCTGTCCAAACGATAGTGGCTGCTGGTAGGACGAGGATGACGATGAGGATGTGGCCGAGACGGACACTGAAGCGGAGGCTGATGCTGAGGAGGAGGTGACCGGACCGCTGCCACCACCCAATTCCATATACTGCGGCGGACTCAACGAGGCGCTGCGTATTATCGCAGCATTATAATCGGTATTATTTGGTATCTGATGCGTGTGGTTGTCCAACGGATAGTCTACTATGGAATCGGGTGGTGTGGGCAGCGACTTGGGCACCAATATCGACAGCTCGATCTTCTTGTAGTGATACGGATTGATGCAGATCTCGTCCTTGCGCAAGTGGAAGGCGTACTCGCAGTGATCCAGCGGCTTCAATTCATTCTGTGACTGCAAATCCGGCCAGCGCCATAGGCGGCAGTAGATGACGTGCGGCAGACCCTTCCGCAGATGCTCGCCGGGGGGGACGGGCTTACTGCGCGGCACTGTCACGCAGCGCGTCTGGCAGTTCTGTGTGGATATGGCACGCTCTAGCTCCTCCAGCTGCGAGTTCTTCTTGATCTTCTTCACCAGATTCTTGACGGCCTTCTCCGACCACTTGCCCTCGACGGTGTTGTCCTCGTTGCCCTTTTTGAGTGCTAACAAACGTTTGACCACTTGCGGGGTGAATGGCAACATCTCACGGTCGGTGGACACCAGAGCCACACGCGCACACAACGGCACAAGGGGTGGGGGGCTGGGGCTGGGGCTGGTTCTGGCTCTGGCTCTCTGCTGCTCCTGGCTGAAGCTCTGTGCGGATCGGGTGGATGCAGCAGCAGTTGAAGATTTAAAGACCTCTCTCTCTCTCTCTGTCTCTATATGATCTGGGGGGGAATTTTCTTTGAATGCAATTTGTGCAAATTCAAAAAATTCCTTTCCGTTCCCTCTCTCCCTGAGCGTTTGGCGAGGCGTGGAGCGTTGTCAGCGTTTCTAGAATTGTTTTATACAGTTAGTTTTTGATCAGCCTCTATGTGTGTGTGGGTACATGTGTGTGTGCGGCATGCTAAAATAATTAAAACTTGATAATTTGCATGCATGTGTGTGTGTGTGCGATTTGATTCCACTTGTACATGAGCCTGCGCTGCGGACTGGCTGGATCTGATAAAAAAAACACTACCCTACCGACCGATGTGTTGATGACGATGCTGGTGATAATTGGCGGTTCTACACGGGTCGCGCTGCTTGCTGTTTCTAGTGGCTAATGGTGTGCATGTGCGATTTGATATGGCATCGCGGTAATCTAACAATTTTGGCCATTGATTTCGATTTCAACTCTGGGCCATAAAATGCAATCGTCTTGTGGGAGAGATTCGGCATGCGTAGGTGTAAAGGCAGACATCAAAACGGCACATCTATTATACTGCGCCATGTGTGTGTTTGTGCTTCTGTTGTTATTTGCCATTACTGCTTGTCGCTAGTGCTGTTATAGTATGTATTGTGTGAGCCAAACAAGGTCAAATATCTGTCTGCAGAAACACACACACACACACGGGGGGATACACAAACGGAGGCATGGGACAGACGAAACTTTGAAAACAAGACGCTTTAAATTATTGTTCGTCAAAGCTATTGAGATATTTGCGGGCCAGACTTTTTGGATTTTTCCATTAACAGAGGTGGCTGGCTATATATCATGTCGCGAACATGAGATTTTGTCACTTTATTTCAAGTTTTATGCTTTTTATTTTCCTCTGCAATCGCAATCGGGGAGGATGGGGGATGACAAGAAATTCAACACACACACACACGCATGCACATACGCACACAAGCATGGGTTCTTTGATTTTGAATGTATCCATTTTACCTGTACAAGCGTTTTTGCAAAAACGGCACTGGCACTGCTGCACTCCAACTCCACTTCCGCTGCTCCGCTGGCCAGCCGATGGCAATCCAAGAGTTAGACGGGCAATTAAGACAAGTATCAGCACACTTCCACTTTTGAATGCAATTGCAATTGCGTTGCGATGCGTTGGTGGGAAAACAGGGACGAGAACCACGACAGCGACGACGACAACCAAGCGGCACCGGAACCGGGCGCGTACATCAAGGTGCTGGAGCAGAGGGGGCGGGTGTTTGGGGGTGGCCACCGTTTTTCAATTTGTGTATATCTTTTGCGCGCGCCAGAAAGTGACAGCTAGACACACAAGCAAAAACACAAGAACCGCAACACACACAAACACGCACACAGTCACAACAAAGAATTGTATTCTATGTTCCTTTGCGCCGTCTGCTGCTGCTACAGCTACTGCTGACCTTTCGCACTTTATGGATACTTTTCTAGTCCCCTTTCCACCGCCACAGCTGTTTTTGTCACTTTTCGAGTCGGCTCCACTGGCTCTCGTCCGAATTGTTGATTACTTAATGCCCGTTTTTACTTGACTTTTCTGATTGTGCGTAATATCATGCGTCTCCTGTGGGGCCTGAGATCTATTCCGAAAAAACCACACCACTGTGTCTGCGTCTGCTGCTGTTTATTTCACATATACGCAGTTCTTATTCGCTTCTGCTTTGCTTCTTGCTTCTTTTCCCTATGCATATGCTGTCGGGTGTGCCTGTAGTGGTGTCTGTGTGAAGGTGTGTGTGCCCGCTGTCTTTGTCATTATCGAGTTGACTATCGATGCGAATTTCGCGTGGGACTAGTTTATTTTGCCACTTATTATGCAACCGAGTAAAACCAAACGGTTAATTAACTGATAACAATATTTTCTATAAATTGGTCTAGGACCGCCTGAGCGCACTAACATTTGATCACACACTTAATTTTCGAGCTATCGATACTCGACTTTTGCCGGATAATGGCTGTCTGGCAACGCTGCAACATAACGTCGAGTTAATTCTAATTAGCAAGTTTATAATAGCAAAACATCATAAGCACGGATATACCGTGGTTAAAAATATACGTATGTACATATAATAGTCATAATTAATATTATAGATCAGATGAGTTGCTTCTGCGAGCTATAGTTTACCGATAATTCGAGGCGACAGGCTTTCGAATTTGAATGCACTGCTAGGGATTGGCGACGAGAATTTGGACAATTCTGTCCAATAAAGTGTCTATGGAACGTGCGTTGAAGCTGTCGGTGGCCAGATCATGGGCAACAAAGATCCGCTGTCACTATAAGATATTTTATTGATACTTATAATTTTACTTAGTGCAAATTGTCAATTTAATCAATTTAAGTTTTCGAAGAGCGCCACGTTTTCTGCAGGGCCGATTTGACTACCTCATCGGGCGACGGTGTATCAAACCGAAATCGTTTCACATTACTGCCATAGTCTTCTCGCAGGCACATCTTCAGGTGCTGTCGCTCCAGTTGCGATATGGCGTATTTAACCTGTGGCTTCCGTGGCTCCGGGTAACCTACCACGGCATCCAGCACACTCCCAATGACACTGTAATGCTCTGGGCGCCAGCAAATCGCTGCCTTCGGCGATCATTGGGCATTTGTCGTCCATCAACAAGCACTGGGAGGGGGCAAACCGCTTCACCGGATCGTAGGCAATAAATGGTATATCAAATGTCTTCGTGTTTTGGACTCTCTTAAGTCGAGCTTTGGTTGCATATTCCTTGGGAGGTGCATTTCTGCTGCTCTTTATCAGGGCTGTGGTTAGGTCGATGAGGGGCGTTGCCATTGGCACTGGATGCAGGGGCGATATCGTGTCGCCCCCGTCGTCACCCGATATGTGCAGCCGACCCACCGCACGCTCCAGTTTGGGCAGCTGCTGCCCGTCGCTCATGTTTTGACTGATGAGCTTGTTCAGCAATGGAATATTTAGTTTGGCCGCCTCCGTCAAGGGCTCACCCAGAGCAAAGGAGAGCGGAGGTATGACAAATCCCGAAGATGCCTGGCCTGTCGTGTTGTCACCTTCGGATATTCGATGACGCCGCTTGATTTCATTCAGCAGGACCTCATTGCGGGCATCCGCCGCCTGACGCTCCTTCTCCTGTGCGGCAAGGTCAGTGGGCGTTGGGTTGCCTTTGTTCAGCTGCGGTATCTTCAGCTGTGGTATAACCAGTTTGAATGTTGATTTGTTCGATTTTGTTGAATCATTTTCGGGGCCAAACTTTTGTTGAATAGCCTGGTGAAGGCTCGGCTTTTGATTGCTCTCCATTTTTAGCCCAGTGTTTGTGTGACACAGCCAGCGAGATCCGAAAAATCTCTTATTTTAATCTCTTTTGTATTATTGTTTTGCTTTTTCTTGTGACGTTTGTTTGCTAGGTGTGAGCAGGGTTGCCAGCTGTTGCACTGCGTTCGGCTCGGGGTTTCCTACCTTTCCGAATTCCACTCTAAAATTCTAATTAAATTTCTTTCTTTCCGAAATCTCTTGAAAACGAAATGACAGCCAACGCTATTTAAATTATTTGTGTTGTTGCAGCTATTTAACTGTTCATTTGTACTGGAGCAAATACAGCAAATTCCTCCGATACATCGAATTGTGTTGAGCAACGTTTCGGAGATTAAAAAAAACCCGCTCCAAATTCAGTTTCGTTTCTGGTTTTTATAAATATTTTATTTTTGGAACAGTTGTGAAAAAAATGCAATTTGATCGCAGGTTTTCCTTGTTTTAATTCTACGCATGATCCAACCGGCAAATGGGTCCATCCTCCACCATTTTCAGGTCGACCTTGGGACCAACAAGATCGCGAATATTGTTAATGCCGTACTTGATCATGGTGGGTCGTTCCAGCGATAGGCCCCAGGCAATCACATTGACATTCTCCGGCAGGCCCATGGGCAGCACCATCTCCGGCCTGAAGACGCCCGAGTTGCCCACTTCGATCCATTTGGCCAGACCCGGATGATAGCAGAAAATCTCCATGCTCGGCTCGGTATAGGGATTGTATGCCGGCTTGAATTCCAGCTGAGTGATGCCCAGCTTGCGGAAGAACTCGTACAGCGTTCCAATCAAATCGCCCAGCGTGAGACCAACATCAGCGATGACGCCCTCAACCTGATGGAACTCTGCCAAATGGGTGGCGTCGAGTGTCTCGTTGCGGAATACCTTGTCGATGCTGAAATATTTGGCCGGCTTAAAGCCGCCCTCCTGTTGGGCCAGCTTGAACAGCATGCGAGCACTGACGGCCGTTGTGTGGGTGCGCAGAAGGTTCTTTTGTGCCTCCTCGAGCTTCCAGTCATAGCCATAGCCTATGGAGCCGTAGCCGCCCTTGGAGTGGGCGCTCTTCACGCGCTCCAAGTATTCCTGGGGGAACTTGTGGCTCTTGGCCGGATGGTTGACGAAGAAGGTGTCGTGGGCATCACGAGCGGGATGCTGCTGCGGCTGGTACAGGGCGTCAAAGTTCCAGAACGATGACTCCACGTAGTTGTTGGTGGGCATTTCCGAGAAGCCCATCTCCAGGAATATCTGTCGGAACTCGGTGCGCACCTTCAGCAGCGGATGCAGATGGCCACGCGTCGGCGTTGCCCCCAAGGCATCAAAGTTGTACGATTTGAACTTTAGCTGCTGCCACAGGCCATTGGCGAGCATCTCCACGGTGAGATCAGTCTCCAGTTTGGTGAGCGTGGTCGCGAACTCTGGCCTCTTGGTCAGGACAAAGCTCTTGACGGTGGTCTCCTGCAGCAGCTTGCGCTTCTTGAATTCGGCCACCTCATTGGCCGGCAGGTCGGTCTTTCCTTTTGCTACCTGATTCAGCAGCTCCTTGACCGTATCCACAATCGTTGGCACCTTGCGCTTGACCAGCGGCGGCTTCTCGCTCTTGTCCACCATTATCCAGCCATTGGCCATGGCCTTGCTGAAGCCAACCTTGGCATTGGGATTGCCATTGACTAGTAGGAGCACACGCTGCTCGATTCCACCGTCTGGGACATTTGCAAACACGACAGCCTCATGGCTGCCACACAGGGCCACATGACGACCCTCTTCGGTGAGCTCCAGGGACTTGTGTGTGACTGTCGTGGCATTCACCAGTTCACCATGCGCCTGAATGCTTTTCAGTGCGCCGACAATTTTCTGGTGATCGATGTCGAAGAGAGAGGCCAGGTCCAGAGTGTCCACCTTGTCGGTGCTATCCAGATGCTGAAGAATACGCTCCGTGAGTTCGGTACTCATTTTGGGCTATCAATTTGGCCGGTAATGATGATAAATGCACACAAAACTGCAAATCTCGTGCTGCCACAACGCAGGAAGAGGAAGAAAGCCGACAGGACAGTGCTGGCAAGCGTCCGATTCCATTGGTCGCCATGGTCTCTCTATGATTGCTATCGCCAATCAGCTGATCGTTCCGTGTCCACAACCGCAATAAATAAGTATCTTTCTGCTAAAATTTATTGTGGTCGACGATTTAACGATGCTGGACACCTGGCAGAGCATCATCACATCCATTTCCAGCCGATGCGGGTAATAGCTGTAGCTGTTTGAAAGTGCCTGCCGCGGTAAACTGTTTCTAGTGCGACCATACTGCGGCAAAGTACAGTGCTGCACAGCACTCGTGAGGCACAAATCAGCTGTTCGGGCATAGCATCAAGAAGAAGAAGCGAAGCGTTGGCGTTGTTGCACAAAACACAAAATTTTAAAATAAAGAAAAAAAGCGTTTCTTTTAGTCAAAGAAATAACAAATGTGTATTGCGTGAGGACGAACAAGCCAACCACCCAACATGCTGAAGAGCCTTAAAGCGGACACCTACGCCGGCATGGCCAATGCCAAGTGCGGCGAGATCTACTTCCAGAGCCTGAACAGTTTTCGCATAGATTGTGGCTTCTGTGAAATGAAGAGTTTTGTGTTTAATGACTTTCTGCTGCACGTCCAGAACGTGCACTTCGAGAACGGCCTGCTGAAGACAGTGGAGCTGGCGGAGCTCAAGGAGGAGAGAGATGCGTCGGATGGCTCGCCAGTTCCCATTATGGAAGAAGTAAACCCATTTGCGTGGCACGAAATCGCCTCTGATAATGATGAAGATGACCTGGATAGTGACAGTGAGGACGACTATGAGATGGATGAGGAGAACGATGATCCCGGCAGGATCATTCTGAAATGGGATAATTCCAATGCAATCGCAAACGATTCGTCGCGCCAAATGCGCTCTGCCAAAGTGGACTACAAGGAGGAGGAGTCCGACCAAGATGGCGAGAGCATTACCATCGACCTGGATTTCGATCTGGACCCGGACCAGGACCAGAACCAGGACCAGGACTATGATGACTCGACGACCAAGAAACCACATTCCTGCCCGCACTGCCCCAAGACCTATCAGGGGCAGAAGACCCTGGATCGGCACATGGCACGTCAGCACAAGCCCGTGGATCCCGAGGTGGAAGCCGACTACGGGAACTGCATGATACTCGATTCCAGGCCCCAGCCAGTCTACAAGTGTGAGCAATGTGCGAACACATTCTTCACAAAGCTAATGCTGGTGATGCATATGAAGCAGTATCACAAGGTCAGACGCGAGGCAGCGGTTTCGGCCGCATCCCCATCGTTCAATTGCGTGGAATGCGATATGGAGCTGCCGCGCCTGCGTCTGCTCGACGAGCACATGCTGAAGGCACACGGCGGACCGGCGTGCGTGATCTGCAAACGGCGCTACAAGACGCGGCACGAGCTCAAGCGCCACCAGCTAAGGCACAACAGCGAAAGGAACGTGGTCTGTTCGCATCCCGGCTGCGAAAAGCGCTTCTTCACCACGCGCCACATGCGCAATCACACCAAGGTCCACACGGAGGAGAAGAACTTCGTCTGCGAGAACTGCGGCTACAGCTGCCGCAACAAGGAGACGCTGCGCGTCCACATACGCAGTCACACGGGCGAACGTCCGTTTGGGTGTAAGGTGTGCGAGAAGCGATTCCCATCCCATTCGGGCCTGCGTGAGCACATGGCCATGCACTCGACGGATCGACCGTATGTGTGCAATGTCTGCGATGCAACCTTCTCCCGCCAGAAGGGGCTCTACCATCACAAGTTCCTGCACATGGACACCAAACAGTTTGTCTGTAAGCTGTGCGGAAATGCGTATGCCCAGGCAGCCGGATTGGCCGGTCATATGCGCAAGCATCGCAACGTGGAGCTCAATGGTGGATCGTAGAGCGCAAGGGAAAGAGATGGAGATGGAGAAAGTACGATCGGATCGATAGGGGACTACGTTACACACTTAAGATATCTTTTCAAAACATTTACGACCTTTTTATTGTAATATTTTTCAACTATGTTTAAGAACTCAGGCATAGTCTCTAGGCACAATTTTCAGTTTAGTTGTAGTTTAATTCTAAACACACTCTACTGTTCAACTGTTTGCTAGACGATTTCCTTAACTGTTCCGAAACCAGAGAAAAAGAAAGAGAGAGAGAGAGAGAGAGAACTCGAATCGGAAGCCCTGAGGCCCTGCCACTCTGCTGTTGGTACTTTTGCGTTTAACATTTTTTTTTTTGTCTATGGATGCATATATGTATGTAATAAAATTAATTCGTAACAATCCCTGTGCTCCCCGGTGGCCCCTGTGGCTGCCCTTGTACTGTACTTTGTGCGCATTGCGGAGGTTGGGTTGCGCCTGAATGGTATGGTATAGTGTGTGCTTTAAAGTTGGATGCTGCTTCAGTGTGTGCGCGCACGGCAATGGCCGAATTTAAATTTAGACAACAATTTGCTTTTGACAAACAATTAATCGAGCGAGCGAGCGAGCGGCAAATGCCAAATGGGTAAGACGCGCGGCTAAACATAGTGCCAGCGATTAGCGGCAGCCAGCACTTGGCATGCCCATACGCAGCGTGACAATGGTCGGTAAGATGACGGCAAAGACGAGAGTCAAGAAGGAGGCGACGGAGGATCTCCTGCGGCATATGTGCGAATACTGCGGCTACAGGACACGCATTCGCGGCAATCTGATGGTCCACAAGCGGCGGCACACCGGCGAAAAGCCCTTCAGCTGTGACACGTGCCAGGCTAAGTTTGCGGCCCGCTATCAACTGAATACGCACCAGGAGCTGCATCTGGACGTGAAACTGCGACGCAGTCGTCACATGTGCAAGGATTGTAATGTTGGATTTTTGAGTGCACGCGCCCTCTACCATCACCGGCCACTCCACGGCCAGGGCAAGCGGTTCAAGTGTTCACAGTGCGACAAATCCTATGCCCAGGCGGCGGGCTATGCCCAGCACAAGCGGTGGCATCGTCAGCGTAATGAGCGTGTAACGGCCGAAAGCCCAATGGAGATAAAGATGAAGCCGGGAAGTCAGAAAGGCAACGAAAACTGACTGGGCACACCACACACACATGCTGCATCAGCAAATTGTTAATTATCTCTAATGCCTTTCCTATGTTATGAATAAATTTGGCTAGAAAAACCGATTCGAATCCGTTGGTCAATGCCATTTGAGTTGTGTCGACGTTTCTGAGCACTGCCTTCTGTCTGCTATCGATTGGCGGTGACTGCAGCGATCTATCGAAATCCTGCTTGGACCCCGTTTGTTTACAATTTTTGTTATTGGTTGATATTTCTGCATGGGAAACTGCTGAAAACCCGTGTGCAGCATGCTGAAACACTGCCTAGTCCATGTGGACTACACGCGTCTGCATGCCCAGCAAAAAATGCAGCCCAAATGCGGCGAGATCTTTTACGAGCAGGAGTGCAACAGCTTCCACTTGGCTTGCTGTCTGTGCGACATGAAGCACTTTTCTTTCGATGATTTCGTGCGGCACATTCGCAACATACACTTTGACAAGCAGGGCAAGCCGCAGACGCAGGCGGTGACTGTGCGTGCCCCAGTCCAGCCTAACTCTGCGGAGGAGAAGTTTCTCACCGCAGTGAAATGTGATGATGTACATGAGCCGGAGGACCCTTTCACATTGCGCATCAGTGACCACAAAGACGTCCAGTCGAAGGGCAATCTGGAAACTGAAGGGCTCTGGGAGTGTGCAGAGAATACGTCAAACTCTGAGAGTGACGGCTGCGACCTGGAGCCAGAGACCATATTGGGCAGCCCCTGTGATAGGACAGATGAAGAAAACGAGGACGAGGCCCAGCAAAGTATTTTCAAGGTATCATAATCATCGTATTTTTCCCTCTGGTTTTCCATTCCACTAATCCTTGAGCTCTATCCAATGCAGCGCCCGCCAAAGGAGTTCTGCTGTAAGCACTGTGATCGCAAATACACATCGCTGAAATACCTGAACATCCACATAAAGATGTACCATCCCCATCCGAAGGCGTTCAAGTGTAGCGACTGTGGAGACGCCTTCGATGTGGTACGAGCCCTGGAGGCGCATCGGCGCAAGTTACACACTGATTTCAATTGCAAACTGTGCGCCAAGATCTTCAAGAACTCACGAACTCTCCTCCGTCATGTGCAGGGACACTCTGGTGTGCGACAGTACAAGTGCGACTTTGAGAATTGTGAGAAATCTTTTACGAACAAGCACAACCTCAACTCGCACCGCCGCATCCACAGAACCGAGCGCAACTATGTGTGCGAGCTGTGCGGCTATAGGTCGCGATATCGCGAGGCCCTTATCGTCCATCGACGCTCCCACACGGGCGAAAAGCCCTTCAAGTGTGAGACCTGCGCACGCTGCTTCGCCTCGAAGTCGCTGCTGAACGAGCATCAGCCGATGCACTCCACGGAACGGCCCTACAAGTGCAACGATTGCGAGGCGACCTTCTCCCGCCCCAAGGCTCTCTACCACCACAAGCATCTCCACCTGGGCATTAAAAAGTTCAAATGCAAAGTCTGTGGCAATGCCTACGCCCAGGCGGCGGGACTCTCGGCCCACATGCGGGGACACAAGCAGCAGGCAGCCAACGGTGTGTCCGAGGGAAACGAAATGGAGATGCTATTCACTTGCTAAGCAGGCAGAACCACAGAGTATCTACATATCCACATTTAGATAACTTTGTACATATAGAATACTTTACAAAACGTATGTATGTATGCTAGCTTATGATTAATGTAATGTTAAATTTTCACACTCTCATCTCTCTCTTCTCACACGAACACCTGCATTCTCTCTCGTTACCCCCACCAGGGTGCGCACACTGGAAGAGGTTCAGAGTGTGTGAGAAAGAGACAGAGTTATCGCGTGAATTGTTTCTGCAATCTGATAGATATAGATATATTTTCACTCCTTGTGGGTACGAAAGTAAAGTGTAGTATCACAGGAGCCTGGATATAAAATTTGGTGGCTCTAGCTGTTTTAGTCTCTGAAATCTAGGCGCTCATTTAGCTAAATAAGTATATCGACTCAGCTATTGATGCTGATCAAGAATTTATATAGTTTATGGGGTCTTCCCTCTGGCCTTCCTTCTGGCTGTTACACACACACACACACACACACATAAATAATATATGGCTATAGAGTGTAATGCGTATAAATATGTCGGGAAGACAGACTCTTCGCATAATTACCATAAGCAAAAAGTCTACGAACAAGTATTGTTTCTGTCATATTAGAGGCCTGATTAAATAATGATAAACACGAGGTGGTTACATTTTTCAACATTTATTTCAAACAGGAACTTATTCCTATGCACATTGTATATATGCATGTAAAGTTACATATATCCGATGTTTATTTGATTTGCATTTCTTCCCTTTGCATCTCATGTTCATTTGTGTATATTGTGTATATTGTATATGTTTATGTTTATGTTTATGCGCGCATACATGTATGTAATTTTACATATATCTGATTTCTTGTACCACTGTGTGGTTAGTGTTAATCATTTAATGTCTGTCCTGGAACTAAATAAATATAGTTTGTTTGTTAGTTTGCGCATATATGTATGTTAGATTTCATTTTTGGTTTTCTAGCATCTTTCTAGTTGATAGTTTTATATAGGTTTTTTGTTTGTTTGGTTAGTGTATACAATTAATGTCTGTTCTGCAGTTAAATATCCATATATGTATATATTATTTAGTTTGTTTGTTTGCGCATATATGTATGTAATAATTGATCTAACACAAGTGGTTAATATTTGTTTTTGGTTTTAGTTGGCAACTCCTTACTTTTGTCAGTTGTAAGAAGCCTAAAATACATTCCACATTTGAAGAGAGGGCAGAGACGACATGGAACTATTTACAATTTTGTTGTTGTCTATCCTTCTCTGCCCAGAACATCAGAGATAGGAAAAACATTAAGTACTCTTTCTGCTCCGAACATATTTGGGTATCCCCTATCCAATATTTAATTGGATTACTCGTACAATATACATATGTACTCTTATTCAATATATGTACCTGTACCTCCTATTCATCACACATGAGCCGCTGTGTGCAACAACGATTGGATTATTCATTTAAGTTTAGTTAAAGGTTCACATTTCTAACCTTTTATTCATCACACATGAGCCGCTGTGTGCAACAAAGATTGGATTATGTATTTTAACTTTAAATACACAATAATATCTGTTATGGAGAGCACCTCCGGTCAGAATCCAGTGATATCCGTCTAGACACAAATTGGGAATATTATATGTATTATATATATATGTATTTATGTATGCTCATGCTCTGAACAATTTTTGTTTTTTTCTTTTTCTTTATAGAGCATTTTAAGTACACATATATATTATAGCCATGGTATGTATACCAATTTTCATTTTTCTTGTTGGTTATTCTGTTTACAGTATTTGATTGAAATATATGTAATATTATACATATATGTTACAACGAGCCGCTGTACTGCACACATATAGAAATAGGTATTATATATTCCAATAATAGTTTGGGAGTACAGTCCATTACAATACATACATATATAGAGATATTTAATGGAATTATTCCAAAGATAAATATTTTTTTGCATTCATGCCACCACTTGAAAAATATGTACATATGTACATATGAGCCGCTGAACTGTAACTTCTCTAAAAAAAAAAAAATATCTATATATAGAATATCGACCAACTGTCCTTGACAGATGCTCTTAACAGGGGAATATGGTTACGAGATTTTTACGCCCAGACCCGTATGGTGTAGTCCCAGCTGCCCGTGGATAGGGCTGTGCCGTCGGGCGACACCTGGACGCAGGAGACCTTGTTCTCATGGCCATACAGCAGACAGACGCGCTCCGACTTCAAAGTGTCCCACAGATTGACGGTGTAATCATTGTAGCCAGCAAAGAGCAGGCGACCGCTCACCGAAAAATCCACCGAATTGACACCAAATATGATGCTCTCCTTGGCAAAGACAGCCACCTCGCGGTCGGCCCGCATGTCGTATAGGCGGCAGCTGCTGTCATCCGAACCGGTGGCAATCGCATCGCCGCAGGGATGGAATTTGACGCTGTTCACATCGGACTGGTGTCCCTCAAACGACTGGACAACATGGCCAGAGCGCATGTCCCAAATGAAGGCCATTCGGTCGCAGCTGCCCGAGACGAAGGTGTTGCCCGTCTCGTTCGGTGCCAAATCAATAGCCATCACATCGCCCGAGTGGCCGTGAAAACTTTGCAGCAACTGACCCGACTCCACGTCCCACAAGGCACACGTCGAATCGCCGCTACCCGTCAGGATCTGCTGATCCGAGTTGGGGTAAATGCAGCACGACATGTAACTTGTGTGGGTGCCAACGGTGCGCTTCTTAGCGGCCATCTCCTCATCAGAGGTGATCGGATAGACAGTTACCTTGTTATCCAGTCCACCACAGGCGACAAAGTTGCCCGACGGTGCGTATGCACAGGCCATTATCCAGGTGGTGGGCATGGTCACGGCATGCTCCTTGTTGGTGGTGAACGCATCCCAGATGATTAGGCGGCCGTCCTGCGAGGATGAGATGATGTGTCGCTTGTCGGGACTCCAGTCGGTGCAAAGCACCTTCGCCTGGTGTCCCTTCAGCACCTTGCGTGGCTTGATGTTGACGTAAGCAATTTGCTCCAGGCGCTCCGCAATGTTCGACAGATTGACGTCATTCAGCTTCGAGCGCTCCTCCTCCAATTTGGTTTTCAAATTTTCCGCCTCCTTCAGCAAGTTTGCCATTTTTTCATTGGCATTAACATTGCTGGCGGAGACGCACGCCTCCGACATTTTCACTTAATTATTTTCCACTTTTTCACCAGCGTCGATTCGTCTGCTACTTCCAGTGTCAAGGCGAAAAATCAAATAAAAAATCAATGATGAAAAAAGATGTATACCAAATCTGAATACACAACGGCCCTTGCGCACAAGCGCGTTTGCGGTGAGTGCTGGAGAACTTTAGTGTTGTAGAACTCAAGTTTGAATCGATTGCTAAGCTTTCGGACACCGCCACCACGTATAGCTTGACAAAAAGCTTAAATGACCAAATACTTATTTACTATCCCTTACGTTCGCTTACGCTACTTTAGATATAAAGACAGAGCCCATTAGATTTGATTTCCGATCATTGCAAAATGCATAGGCATTCCAAGTTGAATTACGCGCCTAATTGTTCAACGCCAAGCGAAGAAGTTTGCCAACACTAGCCGCCGCCCAGCTGATCTGCTTTTCGGATGTCAACCAACGGCTTGAGTTGGAGTTGCTGAAACAAAAACGACGCCAAACGAATGAAGCGGCACAGAGGGACCACCACCTAGCCATAAGTATTGGCTTAAGATGATCAAGTTGCAGGCATTGCCGGTGATAGGAACCGGCTCGTATCACAACTTTCGATGCGGCGAGGTGCTGTGCAATAGCCCCACCAGCTACGACATATGCTGCTCCTTATGCGGGCAGCGACTGCCATTTGACGAATTTCCGCAGCACTTCCGACTGCAGCATCTGGGACAGGCGGCGGTGGACGATTGCAAGCTGTTCGAGGCCACCATAAAGATTGAAGATGATCCCATTGCCCACGAGAGCGGCGAGTTGGATGAGCAGGAGAATGTGGATCTGGAGCACATATCAGCGATCGATGAGGGTCAGGCCTTGGATGCCGATTCCCCACCACTCCGACAATGGGAGACTGCCATGAAAAACACTCTCGTGGAGACGGAGGAGGCGCTTTTGGACTTGGACCCGGACCCCGAGTGGACGGGCGAGGCCAGCGAGCCAATTGAAAACGCCGAAGATGATGCAGAGCCACCCCACCTCAAGGACGACACCAAGGACATGTTGTTCCAGTGCGATCAGTGCGATCGGGCGTACAACAGCAAGCGGAGCCTGCAGAGTCACAGACGTGTCAAGCACAACGACAAGGATGGCGCCGTGCGGAAGCGAAACCGGGGACCGGCCAAGGTCTATACATGCCCCGAAGCGGAATGCAATCAGACATTTCGCACGGAGCGCGACCTGCACGGCCATAGATGGAAGCACACGGGCATCTTCTGTGACATCTGCGGCAAACCGTTCACCCAATCGGGCAACATGATGCGCCACCGTCAGCGCCACAGCGGCATCAAGCCATACAAGTGCCAGGAGTGCGAGGCTACCTTCTATACCCAGAAGGAGCTCACCTCTCACAACATTTGCCATACGGGCCGGATGCCGTGCATCTGTGAGGTGTGCGGTCGGCCCTGCCGCGATCGCGGAGTCCTCACCGCCCACATGCGACGACACACTGGCGAGCGGCCGGCCAAGTGTGATGTTTGCGGCAAGGCCTTCTACAGCTTTCACGACCTCAACGTTCACGCCGTCTCGCACACGAATCATCGGCCCTTTGTCTGCGACGTCTGTGGCTCCACGTTCCAGCGCAAGAAGGCCCTGCGCGTGCACAAGCTACTCCACACGGAGCGGCGTAAATACCCCTGCAAGATGTGCAACAAGACATTTGCCCAATCCGGCGGCCTTAACGCACATATGCGCACCCACGAATTGCCCAAAACCAAGGGAACGACTGCCACCACCGCCGGCAACAGCAGCAACAGCAGCAGCAGCAGCAAGAGTGCCGCAAGCCCACAAGTAGTTAAGCAGCTGCAGACGGTGACCATCGAGCTCATAGACGAGAATACGCCCGCCTCGACGACAACCATCACAATGGCCATAGACTTGAATGTGGAGGGGGCGGACAGCAACTCCCACTCCCATTCCGACACTGCAACAAGCGCTGGTGCTGGTGCTGGTGCCGGTGCCGGTGCCGGTGCTGGCACTTGGCAGGTCTCGTAGACACGTCTATGCAACTAAGTAGTTTATTAAGAAATTAAGTCATTAAGTAGCTGCCATGCCCCGTCTGCCTGCCGTACACAGAGGGCACCCACACGGGGAGTGTCAGCCTCTAGCCTCTTCAGCCGCTGAGGAAGATAGTGGCGGTAGTGGTATTGAATAGACGATAGCCGGCACACGTCGACTATATTAGACATAAATGTGTACATATAAAAACGCTCAAGTGCCCTGCCCCTATGGATAATGGAAAACTCAAAACTCTCAATTGTTATTAAATTTTTTTTGGACTCGCAGACACGTTGCACGCAAATCAAATAATTTGCCGTGAAGTAAACCTTCGATTACATCGAGTGGGGGCTGGGGCTGTGGCCTGTGGCTCTCTTCCCAAATAATTCGACAGGGCCAGTCCCCGACGGGCAATCGCCAGAAAATGATGTGGATCGCCACCCAGCTCACTCTGTGCCTGTGCATGCTTTCTGGCATGATGGGGGTGATGGCCACCGGTAAAGATTGGGATATGGCCAGCTTCTATCTGTACACACCCAACGATCCCGACAATTCCCACAGGCTGTACACCAACGATTCGGCATCGGTTATTGCCTCAAACTTTGATGTGAACCGCCCAACGAAGTGAGCCCAACTAGATGTGTGTTTCCTACCTCTAATATAATGCTCCTCCGCAGGGTCATCATACATGGCTGGAGCGTAACGTATCTGGATGAACCCGTCAGTCTGCTGCGCTACGCCTACCTGGCGCGTGGCCAGTTCAACATCATCGCCGTGGACTGGGGTATGATTGCAGCAATGATGTACGTGGAGGCCAGGCCGCTGGTACCGGGCGTGGGCAAGTCTGTCGCACATTTCCTTTACTTTCTGGCCAAGGAATTCAGCCTGGATCTGGCCCAAGTGGTGTTGGTTGCCCACAGCATGGGCGCCCATGTGGCCGGCTTCTGTGGCAAGGAGCTGCACACGATAAGCAATGGCAGGCATAGTCTGGGCTATATTGTTGCCTTGGATCCGGCCCTGCCACTGTTCCTCCTGCCCACTGAAAGCATGCATCTGGCCAGCACCGATGCCGACTATGTGGTCGCCATTCACACAAACGGACTGGTGAAGGGACAGCTATTGCCGATGGGTCACAGCGACTTCTATGCCAATGGCGGCAAGAGGCAGCCCGGCTGCGGTTTGGATTGGAACAACAGCTGTGCCCATGCCCGTGCCGTCTTTTTGTATGCGGAGGCAGTAAGCCACGTATCCCGCTACTCGCCCTACGGTCACTGCAGCGGATACGTTCAGTTTCTACTCCTGGTCGGCACGTGCAATGGCGTTGCCCCGGAGAGCGTTGCGCTGGGTGATCCCCTGGAGGTTGGCCGCGCAAAGGGCATCTATAGCTTCAGCACCAATGCGGAGAGTCCGTACGGGCAGCCATTTTAGAATCCAATAAAGGTTTCGTTACTTTGAGAGCAGACGCGGCAGAAATCGTCAATTGGCGGTACAAAAATGTCCTTTAATCGGGGTTCCCTACTCAAGAGAGCTACCTGGTCTAGACTCTAGAGACAGAGTCTGTCTGTGCCAGTCTGTGCGTAGATCTTGAACAACTTATCGCTATGTGTATGTATGCAGTAGGTTCTAGAGAGGATTTAGGGGGTATAACATAAGCTTTAACCAGTAAGGAAGAGAGAACTTCGGGGCACCGATGTTTGGTATACCCTTGAAAATAGACGACCAACTAGTGAACAAATAACTAAGAGAATTGTAGATTGTAAGCAGAAAGACGGACGGATGGAAGAACATTGAAATGTACTTTATGCAGTGTTCAGGTGAGGGTGTTGCCTTCTTCAAGGGTATCCAGGGGTATAAAAACAATCGAATTTAACTATAAAATTAAAATAATGGACGTACTCGGTTTACAAATCGCACAAATCAATCGAATTGAATGCTAAAAAACTAATTCGATACATAGAAATACATTTAAAATGGGAACGACAAGGTTTCACAGCGGTTACACGGCGGACACGATAAGGGGTAACAAAAAAAAAATAATAAAAAGGTTTACCATAAGCTAGGATCTACGAGTAGTAGAGATAATATCGATTAGTTGGAATAGTAGTCATATATATATATATATATGGATATATGTAGATGGGGCGCCTAAACTGATTAATGATCGACTGCAGCTACACTACACATACGATTATGTAGGTATATCTATATGTATATATGTGGATATTGAGATGCAATGATCCATTCGATGTGGAATGTTCTCTTCTACTTGTTCCATACAATTCCCTGTTTCCAGTTTCCAGTTTGCAGTTTGCAGTTCGCAGCTTCCAGTTTTTAAACCAAATTGATCTCAATCTTGATGAGCAGCCGATCCTCGGCCACGAAGCCCAAGTGCATGATGTTCGATATGTTGGCATACTCGAGGAAGCCAAAGCCGCGTGTGCTGATCGCCTCGCGCGGCTGATGGAAGGCCAGTATCTCCGGTTTGGTCATGATGGTGTCATGCTGCGATTGGCTCGCGTCCGTCGGATGCACCATGCACAGCTTGATGCGCCCCTTGAAGGGCCAGTCCAAGTGAAAGTCATTCTCCGATTGCATCAGATGCACATGCAGGCTCAGCACATGCGGCTTCCGCGGCTGAATGTTCAGCCGAGCACAGAACTTGTAGCCATAGGGCGAGGTGTAGCACTCGTGCGAGTATACCTGATTGTTGGCATTGGCCCGCAGACGCGACACCAGGCTGCCCAGATGGCCAATGTTCCACACAATGGTGCCGTTGCTGTAGCGCGGATCGATCGGCTGGCGTGCCAGGCGCAGCTGCTTATTGAGATTCTCGATGCGCGTCTCCTGTTCGCGCGTACGCTGCTCCAGCACCACGATTCGTTGGTACATGGTCTGGACGATTTGCTCGTCCACCCCGTTGGCGTATTGGGGCGGCGGTGCCACCTGGCCATGGCCATTCTCCAGCGAGCCACCGCTGGTGCTGGCCTTCTGCGGCTGCCAGGTGGCGATGGCCGTCTGCTGGAAGGCCTGCAGCATCAGTTGCATGTGATGCGGCATATCCGACTTGAGGTGCTCCTCCAGCTGATTGGTCTCGGGCCGACCGACAAAATCGCACTTGATCTTGGCAAAGGGGCACTTCTCTTCCAGCTGCTCGGGCTGCGGCTGGCGTCGGTACGGACAACTGGGCAGATGGCGGTGCACCTCGATTGGGGAGGCAATCAGGGCACAGCCCAGCGGTGAGTTTGGGCACTTGTGCTTCAGCTGCTCGATCTCGCGTCGCGTGTAATTGTCGGGGAAGATGTCCTGCTCCGCAGAGAGTTGCTTATTGTCCAGGGGGCAGCACTGGTTGTGGTTCTGTAGCCAGTCGGTCAGGCAACGCTTGCAGAAGCGGTGGCCGCACGAGGTCAGCACCGGCTCGTTCAGCCAGTCGATACAGATGGCGCACTCGTAGCGCGAGTCCAGAAACTCCTCCTCGCCCGACGTGTCCGAGGCGGCATAGTTGTTCTGGCTTAGGGCTAGGCTCTTGGGTGGCTGGACGGGAACAGAACCCCCGCCGCCGCCTCCGACCGCATGCTGTGCGGATGTATCATGGCTATGGGTGCTGCTTGCCGCGATGCGTGTGCCATTATTGCTATTGTGCTCGTTTTGCTCCAAGTGGTGCTTATGTTCTGCCTGTGGTCGCTGCATGTTCGCCGCTCGCAGTCTTTCTTCCTCTCTCATACATGCATGGGCCACCGCACGGGGGGCACACTCAAAACGTTAATTGGTTATTATCCTAATTTGAACATGTATATACAAAAATATTGCTTTTGCTTTCGAAATTGCTTTGATTGGATGACTTATCGAACAGCTGTGAGCCAATTAGTAACTGCCCAGCACTGGCCGAGCAGATGGATACGGATTAACCCATTGTCGACCAGTTGGTATTTAACCCTAGACGTGGAAAACTCCAAAAAGTATTATGATAAATGAGTAGAGCTTTTTAAATCATAAAGGTTGACAGTTTGTTTTCGTCTGTTCGACAAAAGTTTTCTTTTAAATATTATAAAACTTGAAGGAATTTGTTTTCTAAGATGGATCTACAAGAAACATTTACAAACAGCATTATATAAGTTCACTTTTTTAAATAGAGAGGGGTTAAGTGGGTTAAGTTCGTTTTTTTCCTCGGTATGCTTCCAGTTTTGGTGGGGGCGAACGTATAAAAACGCCGGAGGCTCACGGCGTGGACAGCAATAAGTTGAGAGCGTGCCGGACGCGAAACCATATAAATATAACCGCCGCGATACGCAAATCTGAAAGAAAACAGACAACATGACGATAAGGGTGATTAAGTGCAGGCACAGCTACACCCACTTCTATCTACTCTGCCCCATGGTGCTCATGTTCATCGCATGGCAGCTGGGCGCTGGGGAGATTGGGGCAGAGGCCAAGCAGCTGCCACTAGCTGCTGATGCTGCTGCTGCGGCGGACGTTGCCGAAATTCGTCACGGATCGTACGACAATGGCAACGATGACGTTGCTGCACTGGTCCGAAAGCGACGCCAAATATCCGACTGGCTAATAGCCCCAAACACACGCTGGTGCGGACGTGGGAATCTGGCCAATGGCACCTACAATGACCTGGGTGGCGCATCGATGGCCGACAAATGCTGCCGGAAGCACGACCACTGCCAGCTGTGGATAGACGGCATGTCGACCCGCTACGATCTCTTCAACTATCGCCCCTACACGCTGTCGCACTGCAGTTGCGATCGACGCTTCCGCACCTGCCTGAAGATGGCCGGCGATGAGGCGGCCAATGCCATTGGAAAGCTCTTCTTCAATGTGGTGCAGACGCAGTGCTTTAGCCTCAGGGCGGAGACGGTGTGCCTGGAACGGGGTCCCGGCGCCGGCAGCTCGGGGCAGTGCCTGCGCGAAGACCTCCGCCAAAAGGCCGTTCTGCGGAACAACAAACGGTTCTAGACGCTTCCCTCACACACACAGACAGATGATCCGACCTGGGGACATCAAATGATATCCAATACGTACGACCAGTGTCTCATCCCATACCTGCCAGCAGCATAACTATGAAAAAGGAGCTGAAGCCCGAACCACTCCACTTACAGTGCTGCAATTTAATGGGAAAAATCATTGCAAAATGTTTTTAGCTGGATACGATACCCGTTTATGTATTAAGCCATATACCTACATATATATTGTATGTGTGTACATATGTCTATGAGTATCAAGTGTCAAGTGCGTAATAGTCGATACGATACGGACATAGCTGTAGTTGTAGTCTAGTTTAAATCATCAAATCGAATATATAGGCTGCCAGAAAAACAAAGTTTTTCCCAATAGTTTTGTAGACAAACACAAACATATTATGTGTTGTGTTGTAGTTGTACGAATATGCATGTAAGTTGTAGTTGTAGTGCAAATAAAATCAATTTCCAAAGAGAAACAAAATGCGTTAATCCTCCCCCACCGTACCCTGCCAGCCATCATCCATCATACATCGATACATTTCGGGGAATTGCTCAAAATGGGAAACGTCTTTAATCCGGCAAACCGATTTGGAATTTCGTACTTTGCACTTGGGGGCCAGTCGGTATCAGCAGCATTCCCTCTATGTACATACATATATGTATGTATAATCCCGTATACGTATAGATCGGACGGAATGTAGTATGTACATACGAGTATACATATGTCTGAAGGCGGAGACTGTGATCAACGCCGCCGCATTGACGTCGTTGTTGCCCGTGGAAGATGAAGATGATGACCAGTTGACCCGTAAACGTAAACGTACCCATACCCGTACCCATACCAATACCCATCTACTATTCGCTTTACCCCGCGAAATCTGTTGTTTTTGAGGCTGTCTGTGCCTGTTTTTCTTTTTCTGGGCCACAGATGCGTCATGGTTGAGGGTCTAGGTCAGTGTGAGGAAATTCTAAAAGCTGCACGCTGATGGGATCAGAATAGATCAGCGTCATCCAGAAAGTTACAAAAATAAATAAATATTATTATTATTTAGTTTTACAACAGGAGGGGCTTGGCTTGGCTTGTCCGCACATACTTCCTGCCCGTTTGGGTGTCAATGTCAGCAAAATGTAATCAACGTTTTCGCTTTCGCTCTAAATTGATTCCCCCCCTGCTCGTTGTAATCTGATAGATTGGTTTGGTGACGCGACGACACTTGGGGTTCGGTTCCTGATTTGCACGTGTATGCTCTGCCCAGCTGCAGTACATCTGTTCTTGGATCAGTAAAACAAGTCGGGTTTGGCATTAAAAAAGCTATGTTTGTATGAGTTTATAATTTCGTACACACAACCACTCAAGGTAACCGTTAGGTAAACTTTCAAATGTCGTTATCTATCGACGAGCAAGCAAACAGCAGAAAGTGAGAAATGGCAGCCCAGCCTAGTAGGCGCACATTGAAGGTTCGATAGGTCCGATAGGTGAATTTGAAATGTCGATAGACACGGCAAGCAAACAGCAGAGGTTGGCAGCCCCGCCAGCCAAGTAGGCGCTGATTTTGCCGTTTGGTTTGTATGGTCGTCTCAACTTTGATCTACGACTCTATTCTAGTCACAGTACCAGTCACACTGGATTCATTTCAAATTCGACACCAAAATTGTTAAGTCGAACTAACAGTTATAAATTCTTTTGTGGATTTGACCAAATTGCTGCAAAACCAGCCATGGAGTTGTATGAAGATGACAATGTGCCCTGCTGCAGTCGCGCCAGGAGTTTGGCCAGCACCGAATACCTGAAAACATCCAAAGAAGAGCTAAATGTGGCCCTGGGCTATGGGTAAGTTGCATGTGCGTGAATTTGTGTCGTATTCACGTGTGCCCAATCCCCAATGGAACCCCAATTAGGAGTGGATTACCAAAGCCTGAGGCCGCACGGCCCAAGAACATGAACGAGCTGCGGATGCTGGTCAACGACATACGCTTCATGTTGCGCAGCCAAATGTTGGCCTACGACGCCAAGCTGCTGATCTTTGCTGCGGCCGCCAGTAGCGGTTGCCCCGAGGAGACACTGGTGCCCGCTCCGCCAGCGTTCAAGAACACTAGCACTGACGACGAGCTGTTCGACGGCCCCGACGATGGCTGTGACGTGGAACGGCTGCGGAAAGCCGTTCACGAGAACTGGCCCAGCTGCAGCGTTATGATGGATAGCCTGTGCTCAGTGGAGACGCTGGACGACATGTCTGACGATGATATGGAGGCCGTTCATCTGCTCCACTGGGTACTGGCGGACCCGTCCAGTCCCATGCTGCGTCGCACATCAAGCGTCCATTTGCGCAGCCTCTGCAAGCATCTCGGTGTGGCCCGTCCGTCACAGATGCCCGGCCAGCTGATGAGCATCTGCTATGAGGATGAGCTGGTCACCTTGCCGGGTCCCCAAGGTCAGAAGGAGCTACGCCTACTTGGGTTTGAACTTCGCCAAGCTGTATCGTTTCCTGGCTACGGGTCACCTGGATCTTGCCGGACCGGACACCACCACTCGCCTGTACGCACAGCCAGAGTCTGCCCTGCTTCAGTGTCTCGACCCCCAGCCGGAGTCATTGACCACCTGCTGGCTGCAGTCGCGCTTCGGTGCCACACAGCGGGCGCTCGTCATTTGCGCCCTACCGCCCGAACTGGAAAGACCGAAAAAGATGTCGGCCACAAACCAATTTCTTGAGTACATAGTCCACGATCCCAGCCGCCTTCGGCCCTGTCATCTGCTCTTCTACGATGAGGCTGCCGCCAACAAAATGATGATGCACTGGCCGGGTCACATCATTGAGATGACTCCCCAACAGCGCCGCAGGAATGCCGCACGCAGGCCCATTCGCAAGGCCACTGCAGAGACAGGGCGCAAGCTCAGGGCCTGGGCTCTGTCATTCTGGACGGGCGTCGTGGCTTTCAAGCGGTATGTGTGGGCCTCCTGCTAGCTCCACTCCTGGCTGCGACGACCAATCCCGCAGCACAACTACGGCCAACTGATTATAGCTCCTAATACATAGTTCCTATTAATTGTTCAAATCGGATAAATCAAAATTGTTCAGATCTGAGTCTAAATTGTAACTGTTCCCCATCGCTGAGTCAGCAATTCTCGCTGTGTATCGCGCGTATCATAATAAATATATAATATAATGCCATCAACTGCAAGCTAAAAAGTGTGTGCTCTTCATCCTTCCCATGCGTTGGATTTATTTCACAATATGTAGTGTGGCAATATTTGTCTGCCGCTGAAGATTTCGTGGATCGCAGCAGCCTGACTGCCGTTTATCGATAACAGTTGAGCCGTTGGCTCAATTCAAATTCAAATTCAAAATGAAACTTCACAGTTCGCTGTTTGTTTTTCTTTGGTGTTTTTATGGTTTTTAATACAAAAGAAATTTATCGGAACATTAAAAAGTTCTTAACCAAAGTACAGTTAAACGTTTTTGTTTAAAAGCCGCCAGCCATTTGTGTAGAGGGGGCAGCTGCTTCTCAGTGTGTGTGTGTGTGTGTGTGGGTGTGTGGGGGGCATGGGATGCGTTTCTTCTAGCGTGTGTTGGGAATATTGTGACTGGCCAATCCACGCAGCGAGGCGTAGCTCTGCACATGCAACGGAATGTAATCGAGAACGTAACGCCCTCGGCGACGCTGCAGATTTGAGTGGCGCAGATAGGCTCTGGCCAGTCCCTTGATGCCCAAGAAGGTCAGACCGCCCAAAACGATGCCCAGCAGCTTGTTGTTCAACCTCGCGTACAGTGTGCGGCCCAGCAGCACGGCAAAGCTGGGCAGACTGAGGGCCACAATGAAGCCGCTGGAAGCATTCGCGATGCCATCGTTGTTAAAGATGCCGATGCCCCCCTGCTGCAGCAAGTCCATGCCCGGACGATCGGCTGGCTCAGGCATGTAGTACTGTTCGTCGAGCGGAGCGCCGGGCGGAAGCTCGCCGTCTTCATCCAAATCTGCACGCGGCACAGCCGGGCGGGGACCGCGTAGGCGGCGCCACAAGCGAATCAGGTGATCGTCCCACGGGAAGTTGCGCAGCAGCAGCAGCACAGCGGGGATCGTGGGCAGGGCGATCATCAGTGTGGTGGGCTCGTCCCTCAATAGCGTCAGGCTGACGCGGTAGCCAAAGATCTGCATGAGGGTCAGGGCACCGAAGGTCATCGCCGCAAAGTAGAGACCCGCCGAGAGGGTGCCCATCATAACGGCCGGACACAACGTATCGTATAGCTGGTCCAGCCGGTGCAGCAGCGTATAGAACGCGTTGAGCGGAGGCGTCACAATAATGTACTCTGTGCGGCACTGGGTGCAGGCGACCCGCATCTCCGGATGTTGCAGCTGCTTCTCATCGATCCATCGATTCAGGCAGGCGCGGTGAACCCATTTGTTGCCGCCACGGCAGCGGCACGGATGCAGCCAATCGATGCGAGGCGGGAGCTCCTCGTCGCCGCTCAGACAAATCCAGCACATGCGCTCCCCATCCAGCTGGGGACTCTGGCCGGGCTGTGTGGTCTGGGTGGTTGGTTCCCGCTACCACTAACGCTAGCGGTTCCGTATTTCGAATCATTTTCTATGCAATTTACTGCTGGCTAATGCCTGAACCGTGTGGAATTTTGTTAGAAGTAGCGCTGTGTGGCAGCAGATCAGGCTTTTTGCTTGTTAGATTCCTGCCTGCTGGGTTCCTCCCATTTTATACAGAAATGTACGTGTAGAGTGGGGGGAGGGTACCCCCACTAGATCTACTACTACCCCGTATGTGTCGTAGCACTTTGTAGTAGGATGAAATCTTGCGACAGAGAACGAACATATCACGGAATATATACATATTTCTGCTGCCCATGATCTATATTATGTGAGCCTTTATAATATATTTCTATATCCCATATTTATATATGGTGAAAATAGAATAAAAAAATGAAGGATGCCCTGGCCACGTTTGATCCGCTCAAACAGGTGGCCTTCATTGCTGTTGGATGTTTTTTGTTTGCTTTGTTTGTGGTTTACTTTCAGCCACCGAATGTGGCACATGCCACAAAAGAAAACCTGTTGGCCGACTGTCTGGAAATAGGCGAAGGCCAAGTCCTATAGCAGCGAGCCAGAAACTGGAACTGCAGCAAGCGAATGTCGGGGGGCATCGCTGCCTGGTTGCCTGCCCCACTCGGCCAGTAATTGGATATAAATATAATCATAAGCATTCTCACTTACCCTTCCGGCAGGCAAATGGAGCACGGATGCCCCAAGACTGACTCCAAATTAAACAGCAACTTTTGGAATATTTGGAGCACACACCAAACACACAGAGATAGAGAGAGGGAGAGTACAGAGTGTCGCGATTCGCACAGAAAACAAAAAACAAAACAAAAAGTGGGCGCTCGGATCGACGAATCTGTGCTGGAACAGCAGGCGCACGCGCACCGACGACTGCAACTGCAACTGACACTGATACGGACACGGAGAGTCCACTCCACAAAAAACAGAACTTGTCGGCTCGAGAGCAGAAGAACATTTGGCCAAATGGCTGGATCGGGGTCTGGACTGGACTGAGCCTGAGCCTGGCACTAGAAAGAGGAATAGAAAATGCAACAGCCAGTGTCAGTTCCAGTGCCAGTGCCAGGGCAAGAGCGAGCGAGCGAGAGGCGCCTTTCCATTCAACTTTTTTTTTTTGTGCAGCAGGTTGCCGGCCAAGAGCCAACGGTACACCACAAAGTGTGGCACATCGAATTGGGGGCACTTGATGCAGCCTTGTGTATTAGATTTGGTTTTGCATTTGCTTGGGGGGAGGTGGGGGCCCCATCTGATGGATGGGGCTGTGTTCTGAGTTGTTTTCATTAGCGTTCAAAATCGATTTCACTTGTAATTCAGAAACAGCTTTGGCAGCTAGCAGTGATCCGCCCACAGCTGACAAACGAACGCCACGTGTCCTCTGTGGCCTGCCCATGCCCATCTAAAGAGATTGAGAGCGAGCAACTGCCCTCAGGCAGTAGTAGAGCCCCACAGAAAAATGAAGCACGAACGAAGAATCGTTTTGGTTTTCTATAAAAAATAGTTTTGTTTTTTTATTTTGTCACTTATTTTGGTCTCCGAATCGAATGGTTTAAATATTAAAAACATATTTAAATTTAAATATCGAATGGGGGGGGGGACTGGGGACTTCGCTTGCTAATTCATTCATTAACTAATTCATGTCAATTAAATGGCAAATAAATACGCGAATATACTGGAAACACGGTCTCCTCTGTGGTCTCCTTTCTGGGCTAATTAATTCATAAATAATGCGGTATAGTCAGGCGGGTGGTATAGGGGGGGGGGTTTGCAATTAAACTAGAAGGTAAAATGTTGGCTAGCGTTTTGTATCTGATGGTTCATTTCTGTTTCGTTACTTGTACAATATATAGCATATATATATTACATAGAGCAAAGTATATATATATAGTATATATTATGTAGATATATTGCTTTGGTTCAGACACGTACATACATACATACATATATATTCCTTTTTCCCTTTTGTTTTGTTTGGTTAACGTTTTGCGTTTCTCCTGTGAGCATATAAACAACAATTTGTCTAAATTATAATTATTAACTAGTTAAAGATAATTGTATCTGTATATATGTGTGTTGTTTGTGTTTGTGTGTGTGTTCGCAGTGGATTAGTGACCGACCATTTCAATATGTAACAAGAGAGGAAGGCTAGCGCCTCGGTAGTCCGAAGCATTTGGATTGGATACCCTTGCAAATGGGTGGATTGCTCCTACAGTGATTCCATACATAAGGATATATACCATATATCATTGAGTTAAGCACAGACAGCACATTACAATTTACCTCTCTGCAAGGGCACAATAAGCTATACACCTCTAAGCAGAAGAACATGAGTACATATGTGTATATGTATATAGGATGTATTCTGGATTATATTATACATTTCTTTTCTTATACGGAAAATAGCGCACTGTTTTTTTTTTTTTTTTTCTTTGTATATAGGGGTAGGGGAATTGGCTTACATATACCCAGTACACAGTACATGTAGTATGTATGTATGTATCTTGAATAATTACGAGCATAGTTTTGTATATCGTTCGCGCTACTACACTGGGTTTCAATTCAGAGCTAGTAGTTAGTTGGGGCGAGGGGGGAATTAACGCAGCTATATAAATGAATGTATACTAGTCTAGGTATCTATAAATATAGTATATATATGTCTATGTATAGGTATGAATATATGTATATAAACATTTTGTCAGACTTAAAAATGGAGCTTACGGCGGCCTGGCGGCTGGCTTGCGTGTGTCGTGTGTGTGTTTGTGTGTGTGTGTGTCTTGATATTGGGATGTTGTTCTTCACGGAATTACAAAGTATTATTTAAACATTATTATTGTTGTTGTTGTTGTTGTTGTTGCTGCTGGTTTTGCGAGTTGGAAACCGTCTCGCCATCTACACGTATAAAATACAGCGAGTGCAATTGACTCTCGCCATCTACACGTATAAAATACAGCGAGTACAATTGTCTATATGTTTTGTGGGATTTGTGGGATGTGGTGGGGGCGGGGGAACCGATCGGGAACTAGTCTTCAACGCTACTTTTAAGGCAAATCGCACAAGTCAGGGGAGGGGAGTCAGGGGGATTATCTATATTCTATGCGCGCATGTGAACAACCTCGATGACTACTACTCCTACCTTACAGATATCCAATAAGATAATCCCCTGCTGAGGGTAGGGGTATTGCTACTCGGCAATCATCCGCAACTCCTTGAGGTATAAGCCATACAATTGCAATGGCTATTGCCATTACACTCGCTTTTATGCCGCTGCTCTCTCCCTGTCCCGCTCTCTCATAGCCGATACTCGTAGTGGGCAGAGCGGGAGCGTCGTGCACCCGAGTACCAGCGATAGGGAACACGTTGCTGGTGCAGGGACAGTCCAATGCTGCCAGCCACTGCCACACTGCTTACGCTCACGCCTCCGCTTCCGATGTCCGCTCCCGGACTGCGCGCCAACTGCAGGGTCAGCGCCAGTCGCGCCTGCTAGGAGGATGTCGACGGCGAGGGTGTGCTGGCACTGGAAGCCTGACGATGTCTCCGATGATGATGCTGCTGCTGCTGCGGCGGCTGTGACTGCGGTTGCTGCATGGCCGGCGCCGTCATCCGTCGGACCAGAGCATGAGCCGGTAGTGGCAAGGCATTGGCATCCAGATACGCCTCAGGACTGAAGCGTACACGACTGTGCTGCGAGCCGATGGACCCCTCCTTGGCACTCAGGTAGGAGCTGTCGTCGCTGGTCAGCGAATCCGGTGGCGTGGGATTCGTGGGTGTGCCCTGCTGCGACGATATAGAGCCATTCAGCGGCGTGCCCTTGCAGCTGCTGCTGCTGTTGTTGTACTTCTTCAGCGAGCTGCGTAGCTTGGCCTGGCTGCTGCTGATGACACCGGTGCCCGTTGGCACCACCATCGGCTGCTGGTAGGTGAGTGTGAGGGCGTGCTGCTCAAAGGGCAGGCTGGCGGGGCGCGCCACCGACGCATACTTGCTCTTTGTCATCGGCAAGGGGCTGTGAATGAGGCGATTGAGCAGCTTGGGCGAGCCGGCGTACAGCTCCTGCTTGGTGGGTGGCGGCGGCAGTGGCGCCTGCTCTCTATCCATCTCGTAGTCCACATTCAGATTGAGATTGTTGTAGTCGTAGAGCAGCTCCTCGTGCTCCAGCAGCACATTCGAGTTGCTGGACACGGTCGAGGGGGTCCTCCGATGGCCACCGGCACTCACACCCATCTGGGGGACACGGGGCGGCGGCGTTCGGGTCTGGGCCTGCAGCGGCAAGGATGTGGGTGCCTGAACGGGCACTGCCACCGGCACGGGTACGGGCACGGGCACGGCAACGGGCACTGGCACCACTGGCGCCTCGTACTGATAGTCGTAGTAGTCGGGCAGCCGATGATTGTAGTCGTAGGAGTAGTCCGGATACGATTTGCAGTCCCGCTCGTAGCTGTAGTTCAGCTCCGGCCGATACGGGAAGTAGTTGGAGCCTGATGGGAACAGATGAGCGAAATTAAAGCCGTTAAATCCTGAATCTTCGAGCTGGCGTTGGCCACTTACCAAAGTAACCGTTGCGATAGTTGCCGGCACCATCGTTCGAGTAGCTCGGCCCGTTCCTCAGGTAGTCGGCAGGGGCGTAGAGCGGCGGCGGTCCGATGCCACCGCCCACGCGAAACTCCTCGAAGGCGCCGTCCGTGTTGCCGCAGCTGCTGTTGCTCAGCTTACGCCGGGGCGAGGGCGTCGGCGGCTGAGAGCCCGCATAGAGAGCGGTTATAGCTGCGGTTTGTACTGGTTGCGGTTGTATGGGAGCGGCCGCCGGTGCGAGTGGTGCCGCCTGATGCTGGTGGTGGTGGTGCTGCTGCTGCTGGTGGTTCATCTGATGCTGGGGTGTGCGCTGCACTGGAGTGTAATACGGCTGACTGCCGCCGATGCGACGGGCCAGGGATGTGGGCTGTGATGTGCTGACGCCCACTTCCAGGCTGCCATACCTGAATGAGGTGCAAATAATGTCAAATAATTGGTTTCGATGCGGGCTATTCCATATACTCACCTTGTGTGACCTGCCAGCTTGCGGGGCGTCTCCTGCGACTCCTCCTCACCTTCCTCCTTGAGCTGCAGCTGCTCGTCCTCCTCTTGCTCCGACAGTGGCTTCTCCACAGCCGAAAGCGCCAGAGCAGCCGCTGCCGCTGCTGCCGCAGCCTTGGGGGCCGCCTTCAGGGCTGGCAGCTCGCTGAGCAGCGTGGGATGCACGGGCGACACATTGGACATGCGCACATCGTAGCCAGCCGCCACGCCGGCCAGCAGCGAGGCCATGTTGTACAGTAAGCAGCTCGATCACCGAGAGTTTCGGCTTCCGGGCCGAGTCGCCTGCGTACAGGGTGGGCAGTGGCACGTTGCTGGTGAAGCGGCTGAGGAGATATGGCGACGGCGACATGATCGGCATGTTCGTGGTGACTCCCGGGCGCCAGTTGTCCATTTTGTTGTTGCTCTGGTATCCTGTGGCGCGAGCAGAATCAAAGCATAGCAGATCGGAGATTCCACATTCCAGGCGAAAAGCGGCAGTTGACGAGACAGTGTTGAGTAACGTGAGGCATTTTCAAAAGGATCGAATCGATAAGTGGATAATTGGGGTCAGGGGAATATTGGGTCTCTAGTCGGGACTGTTTGGTGTGGGGCAAGGGGAACACCGCAGGCAATACCAATAGCAATAAACCACCGCGCACCGCACACCATGTACCATGTTCATTCCGTCCGTCCCAAGTCCGTTCTGTCCGCGTGGAGGAGCGGGGGCCTGGGCTACCTGGGTTGTGTTACGGTTTTTTTTTAGCAATCAAAACTTGTCTCCAGTTTCTCTTTAGTTTGTTTTATTATCGGATTTCCACTTTTATGGTTTTTATGGGGGGGAATATTTTTTTTTTTTTTTTTGGGGTTAGGCCCTGCGGTTTGGGGCCCTGCCCCAAATGGAAAATACATTCATATACAAAGTACATTGAAATCAAATCGAAATTTTAACGTAAAAAGAACAAAATTGATAAATATACAATCTAACAAAAATGTCCATAAAAATAATACACAAAAATTATAATTTTTTCCTTCTTCATTTTTGATCACAGTTTTTTTTTTTTTTTTTTCTCTCTTTGTGTGGTTTTATATATTTTGGTTGTTTGAAAGACATCATAAATAAATGAAAGACACGAACCAATTGTAAAAATAAAACTGTGCTCAAAATACTAAATCGAATCAAAACAAATTGAAATTGAAATTAAATTCCTTGTGTGCTCCACAAAACGTTACAATCCTCGTTCGCTTTATTTCTTTTGTAGCTGTGTGTGGGACTCTTTTTTTTTATATTTTGTTCACTTTAAAAATGTACGAGGTTGTAGTTTGTTAAGGGTATAAAAAAAAAAAACAAAAACTCTTTGATGAACTAAATCATTTTATGTTAAGAGACTACAAACACACGGTACTTCTAATTAATATTTCAATTAATATTCATGAATAAAAATAATAAAATTTATGCTCTCTGGGGTCCCAATATACTCTTTGAGTATCGGGTAAAAAAAAGAAGCGAATTTCTACAAAATGTGGAGCACAGCAGAAATGAATTTTTTCTTTTTCTTTGAATTTTTAGAAAATAACTCTCACAAAGATACAACAAAAAGTAAAATGGAAAAAAAAACTGCACTCGGATTCGTACGACTAAAACTTAGTTCAACTAAGATGTATAGTATGTAATGTATGGTAGGGATTTATACGCCTGCATAGGGTCATGTAGGTAGGTAAGTAGGTATTTATGCATCGGTATAAATATAGTTGTATACACATACATATACACTGATATGGTATAGTATATAGTTTTTCCTTAAGGTTAATCCAAATCGTTAAACATTTATAATTGTATTGGTTTAGCTTGAAATATTTTGCCATCGTCCCATGCATCTTTATCGGGATGTGTTAGTGTGTTCGTGCGTCCCCCGCCCATTAAGACGTTAGGCCAAACAGTCCCAAGCAAATCTTCCCCTCAATGGTCTCCCCCTCTTGACAGTTTTCATCTGTGCCATCGTCACTCCTTTACAGTTGCTTCCGTCTGCTTAATTGTCACTGATTTACAGCAGATCAATAATTATCATTTACCTACGGGTGCCAACTGACAACTCACAGTGGTCTACCTTTAAATATCTCTTCAATGGTGCATCCTGCTAATATTTTAAATGGTCGATTTCATCTTTCCCTTGGCGGTCAATCCATTAGCTTGTTCCTTTAATAACTCACACAAATCACTGGACAAATCTCCTTCTCTTATCTGAATGAATGAATGCTTTGCTTTCGTTAGGAACCGAACCGATTCGAGGGCCGTCAGTTGGCAGTTGATTTATCATATTTGATATCGTGCCTCCTGCCACTCTTCTTTTAGAGTAGATATATCTATCTGTCTGTCTGTCGTCCGTCTTTCGGATCAATGCAATCGGAAGTGTGGTGATCGGATTTTTTCTTTCTTTCGGGTTCTGGCTTATTCTAGGGTTTTAATATAAAACAATGAGCAGTTTATGCGTTTTTGTGCGGCTCTGGGGGTAAGTGTTTTGTGTGTGGGTGAGCGCGTGGATGTGTGCACCAGGCAGCGAGGGTAACTAGGATCCAGAAATGGCAACTCCAACACCAAACACCAACACACCTAGATCGTCTATCGTCTCTCCATCGTTGGCTTCAGCAGCGCTCCAACTGCTCACAGGATTGCGTCTGGGCCTTCTTGCTCTTGCGCTTGAGGGTGCGACTGGCGCCGCTGCCGCCCCGAGCCATCATCTCCAGATCGGCGGCCTCGAACGGATCGATGGCACTGAATTCGGTGCTGCCCATGTGAGTGCCCCCGCCCATGGCATGCTCCGACAGCTTGCTGTACTTCTTCTTCGAGCGCGAGAAGATGTTCATCAAGGAGCGAATCTTGTTGGAGCCGGAGGAATGATGGTGATGGTGGTGACCAGTTTTCTGTGGCTCGACGGGCGCCTCGACGGACTTGGATTTGGTTATGTGCTTGGGTCGCTGCTTCTTTTGGTTCTTGCTGTGCTGGCGCTGCTCCTCCTCCAGCAGATGCTGCTTCATCTTGATCACATCCGGATGGGGCTGGACGTCCAACATGCGGCGTGTGGCCAGTATGGAGTTCTCCTGTATGTTATAGCCGTTCTGGCTGCCGGTCGCCATGGCCATGGCCTGCTCATGTCTGCTCACATCGTTGCCATCCCCATTGCCACCCGTCGAGGAGGAAGAGGTGGAGGTGGAGAAGCTGATCGATGCACTGGACGCATAGGGATCGGCTTTGGCAGTGCCTGTGCTTGTGCTTGTGGGTGCGGGTGGTTCCTCGAAGCTGACGCTCTGAAAGGTCACCGAACTCTTGCGCGAAGTAGTCGAGTTCTGGCGCACCTGGCTCGAGGCCGACGACGTGTCCATTGACGTCTGCTCCTGCCCGCGCTTATCGTCCTCCTCCTCCTCGTCGCTGGAGCTCTCCTGCTGTCGACTGTTGTTCGGCTCCTTAAAGAAACAATGGCGCGGGAACTGCGATCCGGAGGCATTCCGCTGAAAGCGTCCTCCCCCGCCCTCGAGCGCCTCCTCTGCATCGTCATAGTCCAGGCCCAGCGGATCCGCCATGGTGGTGGTCAGCGGTGTGCTGCAGTTGTACATGGTCAGGTCTCCGCTCGACTTGGAGTTGACCCGCTCACTGCTGGCGTTGATTTTCTTCACCACCTGACGATAGAAGGCGCGATCGTAGGTATTATTCTCGCCCCTCGCTTCCAGCGGCAGGGCCAGGCTGGTGGCTGCCGCCTGCGGATGGCTGCTGTCCAGCGAATGCTTCTTCCGTCCCACCGCTGGACTGTTACCGAGGCTGCCGCCGAAACGGATCAGACTCACGCCCGAACCGATGACTGCTGCCCCACTCCCACTCCCACTGCTGCTGGCGGCTACGGCCGTGGAGTTGCTGGACTTGAGGAAATGAAAACAGCCCGTGGTGGGTGTCATTGTGTCCGTCTCCGAGCTGTCATCCGATACCAGAAACAGCGGCGCGGTGGGCAGTTGATAGGCCGTTGTGGCGCTGTCCAGCCCGTACTCTTGGCTCCTGGCTCGATGGTAGAATTTGGCTGAGGATTTGCTTTGGCTGTGGCTGTGGCTGCTGTGGTTACTGTTGTTACAGTTGCTGTTGTTGCGGATTTGGATGTGGCTGCAGTTGGTGTTGGTGTTGGCGTTGGCGTTGCTGTTGCTGTTGGAGTGGGGCAATGAGGCGTTCGAGTGGATGATGATGGATGATGATGCGGATGAGAATGCGGTCGAGGATGTTGTGGGCAGCATTATCGGATTAGTTTTGCTCTGGTTACTAATATTATTATTACTATTATTGTTGTTGCTATTGCTAATGTTAATCAATTGTTGTTGTTGTTGTTGGTTGCACTTATTGTTGTTGTTGTTGTTGGCGGAATTATAGTTGTTGTTGTTGTTGTTGTTGGTGGTGGTGGTGAAGGTTGTGGTGGAGATGTTGTTGTTGTGGTTGGGGCGCGTTAGAAAATATGGCAATGGTATACCTGTGGCCCTGCCAGCCGCCTCGCCACCATAAAAGGATGACGTGGTCGCAACACCAGCACCAGCCACGGCCACGGTCATGCCCATGCCACCGTCCAGCTGCTGATGCTGCTGCTGCTGTGGCGGCGGCGTGGACGATGCCGAGGCCGATGACGGATGATGCATGGCCTGGCCCGGACCCTGCTGCTGCTGTTTGCCTTTGTCCAGATTAGGGGCACTCTTGCTGAACGACGAATGGGTGGAGGTCTGTGCGGGCCACTCCGGCTGGTTGCCGCCCAGCTGTGAGGGCAGCAGCGAGCGCTCCCTCTGGTGCATCGTCGAGGGTCCCCACGTCTTGCCCTTATGCCCATCGGTGACTGGCCCATTCGCACACCAGAGATAACAACCAGAGGTAATATATAACATAAAAAACAAAACAAAATAAAACACAACGTAAAATAAAGAAAGAAAAAAGAATAAATGAAAAGAAAAAACAAATCAATCAATTAATCGGTATTTAAAGCATAAAAGCATGCAAAAGCATAAAAATTCAAATATAAGAAATTAATGAAGTCTGGCCTGCATTCCTGGGCCATGAGTGTTCCCTCCGACTATTTATACTATAAGTCTTAATCTAATCTCTAACTAGAAACCTCTGAGCAGTGCGTTTCAGAACCTTAAGCACAACATAACACAAATATGAACTGCCAATACAGGAATTCTGCATTCATGCAGCATTCGCCTAAGCAATGCAATCCTATCGAAAATAAATTAATATAATTGATACAACTATAAGCCTTAAGAAATCTTAAAGCAGCAATAAAATGAAATTATATTGCTATGGCTGATACTTCCTATATTTCGAAGCAGTCGTGAACATAACTTAAGTGAACAATAAAAATGAAGTTAAATATCATCGAAAATGTTGAATGGCTGCTGAAATGGATGTTTCAGTTGTCTAATTGTAGAACTGATAAAAGATTGATCAGTAGTTATTCCAAGCATAACACTGGAGGCTCGTCTACGTTTAGTTTGATTTGGTTTTGAAGGTCATCTGTTGGTTCTTTTGGCTGGGCTTATGGTAATGAAACGCACTTTGGATTGACTTGAGTCATCAAAAACAATAAACATGAGATCTTGTGATACTCATCTAATCAGAATATAGAATATATACATATAATTCTAATGCTGATAGACTGTGGGGAGTACTCACGTGCAACGAGTCGTAGTCCGGAGAATGATGGTGAGCCAGGCGGCTCTGCCTTGTCGCGCACGGCCGTAATGGTGTGCCGAAACTCCGTGGGCAATGATATCTGCAGCGGCTTGTGTTGCTATCAATAGAATTAGCATTAGATCTGCAGTTTGGCTTATGGCATGTGTATATTACCTTTTTGCCTTTTTTGGGCTTTCGTTTTGGTACTGGCTGCATCATGACCAACTCCCGTCCAATTAGCTCGATCTCACGGTCCCGTAGATTCTGTTCCCGTATCTTCAGCAGGTTCGCCTTCTCACGCTGCTCGTTCTGCACCTGCAGCAGCTGCTCCTCCTTGTTGCGCAGTTCCTATACGGGGGAGTTATACGGGGTATAAATTCAGTGCGGGGATGTCAAAGAACATGCAATAAAAACAAAGACAAAAGAAAAAAAAAACCAAACTAAGAACCATGCAGCAGTTGGCTTGTCGGGTGGGGGCTGTGGGGTGGGGGGATATTGTGGGAGCGTTGATCAACCAATTGTTGGAAACGAATCAGAAACAGCCAAAAAACAGAGCAAGTAAAACAATGGAAACAGAAAACGAAACGAAACGAACTGTAACTGAAACTGAAGACTCAAGCAGAGAGTGAGAAACAGGGACAGGGACAGAGAGAGAAAGAGAGAGCAACCTCTTACCTCTTCGATGGTTTGGAAACGCTTTACATGGTTTTTGGGGGATAATTTCGTTTGGTTTAGAAGAAAAAGTATAAACCAAATGATTAGAATGTCATCAGAGATAATAAAAAAAAGTTTAAGAGATAGGGGGAACGGGAGCGGGAGATGATGATGAAGAGAACGAACTCAAGGGAGAGAAAGGGGAAAATCACACAAAAAAGATCTGCAGGTGTTTCCCCTTTTGTGGAATGGGGGGAGGGAGAGATGTTCCCAAAGGTCGATTCGCTCGTTGCCAAAAATACCTTTTCTTTTTCGCGCAAATCGTGCAGGACCTCGGCTATCTCCTTCTTCCAGCACTCCTGCATGTAGTGAAAGGACTCCTGAGGCGTCAGCGTGAACTTGGAGCGGGCAATGCTCTCCAGTTGCTTGAGTATTTCCTTGAAGCCGGGTCGTTTGTGCGGATCCGTTTGCCAGCAGCCTGAAATCCAATAGATAACATGGGATAAATCGCAATTACAAAACATCTGTATGGGGGTTATGCGGTGGGGGGTGGTAGGGGACTCACTCTTCATGAGAGATCCCCAGGTTTCGGGGCAGGTTTTCGGTATGGGCAATGTCAGGGTATTGACAGCCACGCCATACGCCACGGACAATGGATCGAAGCCTTTGTACGGCGTCTCGCCAGTGATAAGCTCCCACAGCAGCACACCATAGCTCCAAACATCCGATGATCTGCGAAGAGAGAAGGAGAGACAGAGACAGCAGGCAGAGTTTGAGTGGAGTTTTGGCTAGAAATTTCGTAGGACAGGACACTCACTTGGAGTACGTGCTGACACTGATCACCTCGGGCGGCATCCAGGCATAGGTGCCCGCAGCGCTCATCCTCTGCGTGTTGTACATTTCGCGGGCGAGTCCAAAGTCCGTAATCTTGAGCGTCTTCTGCTGCAGATGGTTGTCTTCGATGGCCTCGTAGATGAGCACATTGGAGGACTTGAGGTCGCGGTGTATAATAGACATGGGTGCCTCGTTGTGCAGATAGTTCATGCCCCGGGCAATTTGTATGGCCCAGTTGACCAGAACATCTGGCGGTATCTTGCCGGCCAGAATGCGATTGAGGCTGCCGCCGCGGGCATACTCCATCACAAGGCAGAGCTTCGTCTTGAGGCAGACGCCGCGCAGGGCGGCGATATTCTCGTGCTTGAGGGCCCAAAAGAGTTTCGCCTCCTGGAGTACATTGTCGCGCATCCGTTGCATATCATCGTCGCCCGTTTGGTGGGCGATCTTGATGGCCACCTCCTCGCCATCGTAGTAGCCGCGATGCACCTTGCAGAAGCCACCCGAGCCGATCACCTCCTTGATGTCCATCTCCTCATACTCGATCTCGTGCGGCTGGATGTCGCCAATGGCCGATGGCACGTTCAGCTGCAGCGGATCTTCGTCCGTGACAAAGTCACGCGGAAATACACCGACCTGTGGAAGGGGGGGGGAAGTGAGTACACAGCCAGTGAGTAGAGTCTCGCAGTCTCGATTATTTCCTCCCATCGGCTACGGTGCGGCTACTCACCTTGTCACCAATCTTGCCCGTCCACCAGCCCACATCGCCGGAGACCTCGCTGTCCGTGGAGAGGACGACCACAATTTGGCCGCGGCGCAGCGTCAGCTCATCTTCGCCCTGGGCATCGTAATCGTACAGGGCTGTCCAGAGGCTGCCGTCACCCACCTGAGCATCGGCATCGTCCACACCGTTGTCTGGACTCGGCTGGTGGTGCTGCTGCTTTTGGCTCTGCTCCTCGCTGATGGGGAGCATGGCTGCTGCTGCTACCGGGATTGCCGTTCCTTATCGACTGTGCTGTGGCCGCATCAAAGGCTCACACTCGGCGACATAGGATCGCGATCGCGTCCGGCCCGCGCCCCGATATCCACGCTGCCGTCTCGAGCAGTCTTTGTGTCGAGCGTCGCGTTGCGTTACGTTCAGCGAATTCTACGAGATAAACACAAATGGAAGAAAAAGAGGCTTAACAATGGCATTAGCTGGAATGCGGAGAGCGGCACGGTGTGGTGCGGTGTGCTATGGTGTGCACCACTGCCCTGCCGCCTTCGCGGGTTCGGGTGCAGCGCGCCTTTTTTCCTCACTCACCCAGATCTAGCAGAGAGATTGCCTATCACTCCTTTTTAGAGGCGGTCGCTTTTGTAGTTGCTGCTGCACTGGTGCCACCGCTACCGTCCCTGCACTGCTCCACTGATCCACTGTTCCTCGACGTATCACCCTCTACGACGAACCGTCTGACCAACCAACCGACCGACCGACTGCACGCAAGCAGAGGCACGCACGAAACAATCAGACAACACGATACAAAACACACACACACGCAAGCAGCACACAACACACCATTGTCGAGATGTGTCGTTGTCCCGATGTCTTTTCGTTACGTTTGTTATGTCGCTTTGGGTACTGCGGCTGCAACGGACTGGATTTAATTATACTTGGCCTAATCAATTGCAATCGCTATGCATTAGCAATGTATTGATTTTTGTTTCCGCATATGTTTTTAAAACATAAAAAAACAGAGTTGTGCAGTTTAGGGATGGGTATCGATGTCAGTATCGATACTGTATCGACGATATAATCGATACTATATCGATAAGAGAATGTGATATGAAATGGTCGAGTTTCACTACACTTCAATTGAAGAGGGAGACCGACCAACAATATAAATCTTATAGGAAAGTCATGCAGTGAGAGTGAGAGGTAGATATGACATTGTTATCGAAGACCGAAATTATAATTTCCGGTATAAGAATCAACAAACCACCAAACTAACAGAAATGTAACGTTGTGTTTGTGTGTTTCATCCTATACCGATACTCAGAGCATTGGAATACGAAAACATCGAACAAATCTGTCCCAAATGACGGTCAGGGGCCATCGATACTCATGCGAAAATGCAGGCTTGCTCGGAATGAACGCAAATATGAGAAGCGCCAGCTTATCGTGGGTCGGCACTCAACTGAAATTCAAATGCATGGAACGCACACGTTTAAGACTCGTTTTCTTGTCATATTTCATTATGCGGATTAATATTATTTAATACGTTCTGGTATTAATAAAATCTGTTGTTGTTGCTACATCCCTCTTCGATTCGTTATTTAATTAAAATAATATCCTGGGGCTCTGCGCATGTTTCGTGCAGAGAAGTGGGCCGGGGGAGCATAGTTTCTGCTGCGGCCTTTGATGCTGCTTCGCCACGTCCCGCTGTGTATCCTGGCAACGCCGCACACGCTCTTGCTGTTATGCCTCTTGCTCTCTGGGACATCCCGTCTGCCGCTCACCACGCGCCCCTGTGTGGGCGGGCGGCCTTTTGTGTGTTATGCGAGGCAGCCAAACGTAACATCTCAGTGCATGTTTGGGCAAGGTAAGGTCAGGCAAGTGTCCTCGTCGTCATCTTCATTAGTAGCATAATTGGTTTCAGTTGCCACAGAGAAAGCGAGCAGGAGAGCTAGCCGGCCAGACGGAGTGGAAGAAAACAACCTCTGCTAACTGAAAAGGAGAATGACCTCACCTTGCAAACTGGTACCCTGTTCCCTATCCACCCACCGGAGCTGCGGCTCTGCTGTAATCGGCTCGGCTCTGCTCGGCCTGGTTCGGCCGAATCGGCTTTTGCTCTGCCCGGCTGGTCCATCGTCGGGCTGCACAGTAGCATCTTTTGGGCTTTTCTCTGCTCAAATATGTATACATAATTATATATAATTACAAACAAAACTAAATCAGATGATTCTTTTATGGTTACATATTTTTTATTTTATTTTAATTTTAATTGATTTTTATCGATAAGGTCACGATCAGTTCATAGCTGCCACCAGCTGAAACACACCTTATATTATTTGATGAAATCAAAAAATATATTGTACATGTTGACATTAAATATGTAATTACTTTTCGGTGATAATACCATCCAAACTCAATGAGAAATTGGTTATTTTTAAAATCGTAAAAATTGTTATGTATGAACTTCCTGGGATATCCACAAAACGTCGCTACAAATGCCCATTGTACATCAGCATTAGCATCATCGGACGCGCCGCTGCCAGCGTCGGCTGTCGGCTGCTGCGGCATCGGCAGCTGAGCCAGATGTCCTGAACCCAGAGCCAGAGTCAGCGGCAGATAGCCGGACTCGGACCCAGAGCCCGATACAGAGCCCAGTGCCACTGCACGGGGCTACGGCAACGGCTGCTGCTCGCATGACTCCGCCAAACAGGCAAAAGTCAGACACGACCGGATCCGACACCGAACGAGCGCAGCAGCATCTCCGGAAAAAGTGGAATACAAATGAATAGGAAAACGGCTCGGCTCAGTTACGCGCAAGATTTCAACACAAATCGTAGCACATTTCACGGCGGCAGACGCGTCGTGCGCAGCGCACGGGCAGATTGCACGTAAGGAAACCAGAACGGACCCAACAGTATCGAGATTCGGCACAGGGAAAAGCCAGAAAACTGAAGTCAAAAAACGGCTTTTCAATACCGGGCCCATGGCCCGCAATAGTTAGAAATGTTTTTTTTTTTTTGTAATAAATATGGATAACAATTTGAAATCTGATGGTAGTTTACAGATTTCATTAGGGTTTGCCGGAGCCGTCGCTGTCGCCGTAGCCGTAGTAGAGTCCGTAGTTGCCAAAATTTCTCAACATTTTTTTTTTCGTTCTGCTCGCCGCGTGCGCGCTCCAATGTGTTTGTGTGTGTGCGTTTCTGTGTGCGTATGAGTGTGCGTCTCCGTGCGTGTCTGTGGGTGTCTGTGCGAGTGTGTTGGCCCTTCTTTCACATATTTCCTTTTTTTTTTTTTGTATTTTTTTTCCCAAAAGCCACAGCAGAGAAATGTAAAAAACACAGCCGCCCCACCTTCAAGACGGTCTCAAAAGCGCACAACAACAACAACAAAATACCCAATGAAATAAATAATAAATTATAGCTTAAGCTTTCGCCCTTAAAACGAAACGAAACGCACAAAAAAACAAGCCAAATCTAATCGAAATAAGTACTAGTTTAAGTATTAAAATAGAGGAAGAAATCACAAGGAATTGGATAGAAAAACGTAAGGAAAATCCCTGTCCATACCATATTTATTCATTCTTATTCATTTATCATAAATACTACGCTTAGATGTTGGATGTATTCATAGATAATCATCCTAGAGTTATATATGTGTTAGATTATTTTATGAATGCGAAATTAAAAAATAAATAGTACTCGCACCATACGAATTATTCATTCGTACAGTTTTCTTGGGTTTCTTTTTGAGGCTGGTCCATCTTGGGCTCGTTCTATTGATTCTGTTTTTTAAAGTTCTTTGGACTTTTATTGATTTGGTTTTGAAGTTTTTAAAAACTGTTGGAGATTGTTCCTTGGGGGTATCTTGGTATGAATGTTGATTTAGCTGGAAGTTTAGCTCGAAATTGTTTAGGGTTTTATTGGATTTCCTGGGGTTTCTCCATTGATTCCTTTTGATGTTTCAATTAAGTTTCCAAAGATATAATCTTTAATTCAGTTTTTTTTTTACTGTCTCTCAATAGTTTCCTTGACACTATTTCCCCCCTTTTTCTGTTGTTGTTGCCACAAATTAAAAAAAAAACAGCCAAAATAAATGGAGGCAGACCAATACACATGCACACACATATGGGCACATACATATACATATGTATGTACATACATATATATATAGACATAAATCCATGTAAAGCTGTTGCCTGGCCTCTAAAATGGCTGCCGTTTGCCGTTGCCTTCTCTGCCGGTCCTGCTGCTGATTCTGCTGCTGATTCTGCTGCTGGTAGCAGCTCTGCTAGCGCAGGCGTTGCGTTGGCGTTGCCGTTGGCAGCGTGGTAAGCAGCGCGCAAGAAGTTGAGGTTATGTCTGCGCCGCAAAGTGTGCTTCAAGGGGCACACTGTGTGATTAGGGGAAGGAATGTTGCTGCTGCTGCTTGCTGCTGCTACTGCTGCCCTTGGCACTGCTCTGCTTCAGCTTTTTCTCTGCTTTTTTGTCGCCCACTTTCAATGGGCGTGCCGTGCCGTGCCGACTGCAGCATCCGTTTCGCAGCTCTTCCTCGACTGCTTCCATTTTCTGGGACGGTGTTGGGGAGGTGGATATGTGGTGGGCTGCTGCTGCTGCCGCTGCTGCTATAGATGACCTAGCCCTATTTTTGGCCATTGCAGAGTCTCTCCTCTGCTGCCACGGGTATGATGTGGTTGCGCAGCTAGCAGCACATTTTGTTGATTCCACTTTCTCTGCCTCTGGCGTTGCCACAGCCACAGTCTCAGCCTCAGCTGCTGCTCAAGCTTAGCTTGAACTTCAAAGAAGTGAATACTGGAGATAAAGCAGAGCTAGAAGAAGCAGAAGCGCAAAGCACAGCGTGAATGACAAGAAGACAAAGGTATAGCAAAAGAAGCAGCAGATGAAAATTAGTTACATTCGAAAGTTCCTAGAAAAGGGGGAACAATCCAAAGATGCGGGGCCATGGTAATGTCATGGTGCGAACACAGAATCGAAGATTCTTCACTTAGCTTCCTGGGCGGATATAAACACAGTACGACTTGTCCGCTTACCAGAAGAGCTTCTATTTAATTTGGCTTTTTATTTTGTACAATTTTTTGTAGAGCATCCATATAGAACTCATACATAAATACATTTATTCCGAGCATTAGCTCAATCTATTTTTTTGCATATTAATTTTGCTTAAACATTTTTACTTTTCAGAACACCAAGAAATATATGTATAACCTTAAGGAAATCCAAAAATTGTTCCAAGCCAACACCAAACACAGAGATCTTCAGATATAACACTGTATACACGTGTGGGTTCCCACATGGTGATAGCACGTATCGTGTGAGTGAAAAAATGCTCTCCAGTGCGTCTCCGCCATCAAAAACAACTCCTGCATACGGGAGAAGGCAACAGAAACAGAAACAGCAACAACAGCAGCAGCAACAGCAGCAGCAGCAGCAGCAGAGTCCGAGGGATCATTGATGCCAAGAGCCGGAGTCTGAACAAGTGTAAGCAAGTCGTTAGCACCCGGCTGTGGGTAGGGTAGGGGAGTGTTCCTGAGCAGCGAGGAAGTGAAATCCGTTGCCTTGGCGCCTCCGCGCTGCGCGATGCAAGGGAACAGCAGCCGATCCACATTAAGCGCACAATCCTCGGGCACACCGTCAGCGTCCACGATATCCTCGTCACAAGGAAAGGTGAGTGTATAAATTTTTTAGTGGCTAGTTAGTTAGTTGTAAATGTCTCCCAACCCCCCCCACAGTCTACCTTCAATTAGGGTTGCGTCTGGGAAGGGCATTTCATATGTGGATGGTGTCCTCTCCCCTAGTCTGGCGGATCATCGCTAACGAGAGCCTCCAGTTACGATGCCCCTTGGGCCACCCTTTCGTTCACCCTTCCGTTTCTGGCTCTTGCACTGACTCTTCTTTCTGTCTGGAGTTTCAAGCTAGAAAGGAAACCGAAGTAAATGACATAAGGCAGCAACTATATTCAATCCGGGTCTTTGCTGCATAATTAAATATTAGGACTATGCCGAGAATGATTCGTCTACCGAATCAACAAGTTTTATCCCAACAAAAATTAAAAAATGCTTCTGTGAATATTTACGAGCATTGGAATATGTTAATATTTATTCAAAAGGAACTAATAATAGCCATGGATATAAATTCAGTGTCTTGAAAAAAGAGACCAAAATGTTGCAACATTTTGTTACATTAAATGAACGAATCAAATGCCATCCAGTCGCTTTTTTTTTGCTGTGTGTTTACCCGTATTCCCACAAGACAATATTGATATTTGAATCAAATGAAAAGGAACGAACGAAATTGGCCCCAAGTGATTCATTCGTCCACAAAAAGTGCACCGCAAATTCCCCTTTTCTTCGTTTCTAATTATCTGCCAATTAGTTGCTCCAACTCGTAAATGTCTCCCATCTGGGGGGAGTCTATAATTTCAGAGTCTTCAGGGCAGCCAGTCTTTTTCATGGAAAAAGCAGCAGGTCTGCTGTTTACTGGCATTTATTTATTTATTTATTTAGTTGCACATTGATTCATTCCGTCCTGCAATGAAAGCATAAATTAAAAAACTCCCTGCCTGTCCTTTGGCCTCGATGCCTTGCTCTTTGTCTCCAGAACATTCCCGCAAAAAGATCTCAATTTGATCTGTGCAAAAGATTCCAGGCGTATCGGCGTCCCATTGGGCGGAAATCGCTTTCAGTCCGAGTGAAATTTTATTTGACAGCTTCTCTCTTCCTTCTTGCTGGGTGTCGGGTGCCTGCCAGTGTGGCACTATGACAGCCAGGAGTGCCAGTGCCAGTGCCAGTGCCAGTACCAGTACCAGCACCAGTGGGAGGGCTGCTGCAGCACATTTCCGCTTTCAATTTGCTTGGGTGGGAGCGTATGCGTACGTGAGTGAGGGATGGGGCGGACAGGACAGGACAGGACAAGACAGGAAGACGGGCACACGGGAAGAGGAGAAGATGGAAGGGAACATAAATGTAACTGAGGAACTGCATCCGCTGCTTGTCAATTGTGGGAGTAGGAGAATGAGTGGGTGGCTGGAAGCCGCCTCGGCTTGATGAATGCAGCGCAGCCTTGTCACTGATGGGACAACCCAGCACACAGCACACAGCACGCTACCCCACTGACTCCTACATATACAGCTCTCTTTCCTCCCTCTCCTGTGCTCCCTTCCTTTTACCCTCAAACTTTGCCTCTGTTCCTTCTCCATCGCTTTCTTTTACATATTTGCATTGCCCATCCGCCGCCGTTGTGTCTTTTATCGTTTTTAATTAAACATTGCCGTTTTGGGCTATTACACACGCAAACACAACACACACATACATATATATGGACATGTGTACACCCATATGGAGGTGCGTGGCCCCTACACTTCGCCCCTTTTGGATCTGATGGGAGTTTGCTTTTGTTCCTCGTTTGTTTTGCTTTAGATACCCTATGGCTGCCCCCTTGCTTTCAATCACACTTCAATCCCGCAATAAAACACATGACCGAAGGAAGGGTACTTCTGGGACCATTTGAAATGGTTATGTTCTGATAAATCGTAAAAATATCTTAACCTTAAGCAGCGAGAAAAATCAAATGGAAAACATTGAAGGTACGGCGAATATTCCAGTTGAAAAATGCCTCCAAAAGAATCTTTAAATCTTTAAATAGAATTATGATTCCACGCACCAAAGAAAACCGTCTAGGGATTGTCTTGCATCCGAAATGATTGAATTTTTGGGCCATCGGCTGCCTCGTTTAAGCCTGAAAATGCGTCAAAAATAGTTTTAAATGTTACCAGGGGGGCTCTGCACACTCTGCTCTGCATATATGCTCTTACGCTTCATCCATTAAAGGGTAACTTCTATTCGTTTCGCTGGTTGGATTGTGGCTGCTAATGGAAATTGCCCTGACACATTTTGAAGTTGTTACTTTCTCTTGAATGGAGGAGGTTCCTTGTATACTGTCACAATATCTGTGTGTGTGTGTATGTGTGTGTGTGTGTGTATGTTTGTGTACGTAAGAAAGAAAAAGGAACAAAATTGATGTGTGTGTGTGTGTGAGGCAGTCGTAAAAAATGACGGGTAAAAATCTCCGTTTGTCATAATTGTCATCGTCCATCAAACAAACAAAGTCGCTGAACCATAAACACACACACACACAGTACCGCCCATTCCATGCCATGCTCCCTTGAAGGGGAGTACCCCCACTCCATTTTCATGTAAAGTTGCAATTTCTGTTGGGCCCCAAAAACTAGGCAATGCTTTTTTTTCGTTCGACTTTTATCAGCTTCTTGCAGTTGGTTTTTTTTTTTTTTTTGTGGAAGGCAGCAGAAGCTGTGTGTGTGTGTGGGAGGTAGCTAAAGTCCAGTGACAGCGGATGGATGGCATGCTCGCTGGTGGATGGTGCGTTTGTGAAGCATTATTCATGAAATGGGCTGTATAACAGTGGATTGTTTTCACTGGCTTCTTCTGCCTCTTCTGCCCCTGACCCATTGGAAAAGTTTCTGTTGCAGAATGTTCCCCACTTAGTTTTCCCTTTGGCCCACCTCCCTGCTCCCTCCCAGCTCCCTCTCTCCAGCCATCGTCACCCCCACTTTTCCATTCGACATGAATGTTCCATGCTGAAGGTTGCTGCTGTTTCTGCTTCTGTGTCTGCTTCTTCTGGTGGCGCTACTCCATAAATGTTTAGTGCACTTCGATGAATTTTCCTTCAACATATGTTTCATTTTCCAGAAGTTTTCCTTCGATTTTTCAAAGTCTGTGGTGTTGTTCTTTTGCTTCCCTCTCTGTCAATGTTTTCACCGCTACTTCAATGTCTTTTTCTTCCTCTTTAATGTTTATCTCTCGCTGGATTATTATGTTCCTCTTATTCTTTGACTTTCTCTTATGGCATAGTTTGGCTCTGCCAGCCCTTGAAGAGGTGGTTGTTTGATGTTGAACAAATATTTGCCTTGCCAACAGAAGGGTGCACCCTCGATCCCATATAAAATTACATCAAATATATTTAACAGAAAGCTAGTTATTTAATCAGTAGTTTTTCAATCACTTGTCGTTTTTAAATATATTGTAAAAAAACTCTGAATCAGTCGTGGCAAGTAGGCTCGCCTCGCCTACGCGAACTTTGTTCAGTGGCACACAGAGGAGAAGCTGGCAGATTCGGTTATTGCAACACCACGGAAATGATCGATCGGCAAGAATATCAAATAACGGCTTTTTCATCTTCTGATAATGTTGGATTATCGTATGGATCCAGTCTTATCGACATTATTATAGATATTATATGCCCTGGAGCCCATTAAATTTTTGGTTTCTTTTAAATCTTTGCCTTTATTATTATTATCATTTTTGTACCCATGGAAAATATTTTAATTTTGTTTAAATCCAATGTATTCCAGAAACTCTTTCCAGCTGTTCCTTTGTTTTTTGCTGGAACTGGCTTTGTAAATCATTAGCCTGAAATTTCGTGTCCAATTGTTTTCGTCTATTGTTTTTCCTTTTTCTGCCACGTTTTCTTTAAGGTTCTGTTTCTCTTACTTCTTTTCTTATTTTCTTCTCCACTTTCTCTTCTTCTATTTCTTGTTTAGTAGTTTGAAAATAATTGCACAATTCCCGGAAATTTCATTGGCCTTGGAGTAAATTGATATGTGAATGTGGCATAACTAATGTTCTGCATTACGCATACGCCGCATGTGCCGCCTGCCAGTTGTCTCCGCCCGTGCCTCCCTCTGTCTGTCTGTCTGTCTTTGGCTGTGTGGGTGTCTGGGCTGTACATACGTCTCCACTGGCCCCCCATCACCATTCGACTAACTTCTGCCCCATCATTGACTTGCCATCATTTGAATCGAAGGGCTGGTGGGGGTCTTGTCTGTCGAAGAAAGTTGTTTTTCTTTTACATACACGAATTACCATGAAATGTCCCTAATACTATGACACTATATCTATGTATACCATGATCCCCCATATTCATTGCCAATGTGAATGATGTTGTGTGTGTTGTGGAAGCTTTTGTCTTAGATGTTGGTGTAGGTTTTAGCGGATTAGTTGTTGTCGCATGCATCTTATAAGGCAAAATGTCTGGGAACAATCGTGCTCGTAATGGCCCAAGAACGGAAAGCAACGCACATGCGTGTGCGTTTGTGTGTGTGTTTGTAAATGCGCATGTGCTGGACCACTCTATAAAGAAGATGCTCCCATCCTACTCGTTCGTCCAACTGTCTATCCCAATCCCAAGCCCCATGCCCCATGCCCAAACATCCAAAGACACGCCATGCATGGTCCTTGGCTCGTTTGCTTGATTTTTGGTGCGACTCACAAAATGTTCAGCTTCATCTTCGGAACAAAAGCAGCAACAAGGGCGACAATTGTGCGTATCATTTGTGTAACTTTGTTGCATAACCCCCGGTGGCCCACCCATCGAACCCCCCCCACCCCCACCCATCATACGAGTCCCATCCAAACCTCAACATCATTCATCCCTTTTGCCTCTCAGTGCCTTATTAGCCAGTGCCTCTGGCTGTGTTTCTATGTATGTACGTTTGTGTATGTATGTTTGTGTCTCTGTTTTTGTCTCTCCCTCTTTTTCATCCTCTTTCTCTGTCTGTGTATGTGTGCATGTGTGTGCATCATTTAAAACAATATCCAAAGATTTGTTTCGCCATTTATATGTCAAAAATGACAAGTCAAGTGTTTTGTTCTTGTTTTCTCGGCTTTTCGCTTTTCTCTTTCCTCTTTTGCTGTTTTCTCTTTTTTTTGTTGTTGCTTCACTCTCTATCTCTCGCTCACTCTCTCCCACACTGTGTGTGTGTGTTTTTTTTTTGTCTCACGCTTTGTGTGAGCTTTGTTCTCGCGCTTTGCCTTCCCATCCTTTAGTCCATGTCTTCTTCCCCATTTCCTTTTTTTTTTTTCCTTTCTATTTGCTCGTTTCTGGTTTTGTTCCTGGCTTTGTCATTAGCAGTCAAGCGAGAGGGAAAATAATTTATTCCGGCTCGAATATCATATGCTCTTTGCTTTAAGAAAGAGTGTTGGTCAGCAATCAGTGTTGGTCAGCGATGGCAGGATCACAAACCAAGGAATTTCTTAACGGAATATCATTTATGGTTATGCGAGAGTGAAAATAGTGCTGGGAATGAGTGTTGGTTAGCCAGAAAACAGTGTGGCTTAATGCAAGGCCTAAAATCAGTGTTGGTTACTCACCAATTCTTTTCCTTTCCAATGTATAATATTGTAAAGTACCAATTTTTATTTATTTATCCTTCATTTCTTTGTGTAAATCCAAAAAATGTATGCTACGGAAAAGGTTTGTGATCGGGAAACAGTGCACTGTTTTTCAGCGCCTTCCTACGAAAACCCCACTCCTGCGAACGACAAATACGTACATATACATATGTACATATATGTAGTTAATGTGTATGTAGTATGCTCGTACGTATATACATATATTTCCTCGATTTTGTGCAGTTTTCAGAGCATTTCCAAAGGGAAAAAAAAACAGAAGAAAAAAAACACAGCATTGAAGGATGGCCAAAGAAAGTATGAAACCCCCGACAAACAGAAAAACTTGTCCCCTGGTCTAGGTCATAATGTGTGTGTGGGTGTGTGCATATCCATGTTTTGTCATGTGTCCTAGAGTCTTGGCCATATGTGTCGTATAGTACGTGTGAAATGAGCTTCAAGTACAGCAACAAGAACCACTGACAAGGACGCTCATATGAAAACAAACGCATAATTTAAGCGTAATTGCTGTCATTTTTCATTCGAGTGTGGCACAAGAGTATGTGGCAAGAGGAGGGGATGGGGGTGTGGGTGGGGGGGTTGTTGAAGGGGGCTACTGCCACTGATGTTGCTGTTGCTTTTGCCATTGCTTTTGCTCAGCTTCAAGTGCCCCAGTTTGTCTATGTCGCCATAGTGGCCCTCCGTCAATCCCTTAGACAGTTCATCCCTTCTCTCCCACGCTGCTCTCTCTTCCTCTATATGCCTCTCATTCTCGTCTTTTCTCTTGCTTTTTTGCTTCTCCATCATTCGCTATCTTTTTATGTGAATGTGAGAGCGCCTGCATCCGGCGTTGAAGCGCTGATAATTATGCAGCTTAGGTTAGGATTTTATTCTTTCTTTCGCTTTCCTTTGTTTTAGTACCCTCTACCCTGTAACCCATACCCTGTGCAGAGGGTAGTCGCTTCTTCTGTCACGCAAACAAAAAGGAATCATCATTTCCGATCCCTAAAAGTGTTTACCAGAACTGCAGTTCGGGCGGTCGACTGAATGACTCAGACTTTCTCTCTATTTCTTTCTCTCTGCCAGCGTGGCTTAGCAGCAAAGTGGGTGCGCACCACATCTGTCTCTCCTATTGAAATTTGATCAAAATCAGATGATATTTCATCCATCCAATTGTTCGGGATTCCAGGGTGTATAAAGACTCGGTCCCGCAATGCTAGCATTGCCTTCTGGCGGGGCAGTTCCGCGGCAGTTCATCAATTGGCCCAACTTTCTGCCACGTTAATCCCCAACGAGTGAAAAAAATGGTGGAAAATGGCAAAAGCCGAACCCGAATGAGGCGTGAAACATGAGTAGCAGCAGGCCAATTCCAGACCCCTCCCCCACCCACGGGAAAATGTGCTCTTTTTGCCCGTTTCCAACGAGCACTGTCTTCCTGTTCATTCGTGTGCTGGCGCTCTTTGAGCCAGGTGCTATGGGGTGCTATCAGGTGCCGGTGCTGGTGCTGGTACAGGTTGAGGTTGAGGTGGAGGTCCAGGACCAGATCTGGCTCTGCTTTGTGTGTCCTTTTTGGCCGCTTGCCAGCTCGACTCGAGTTCACTTCCAGTTGAGTGTTTTCCCCCATCCGTTTTCGCCGTCCCATTGTTGCACTCTCTGCCACTTGCAACAATTGTTGTCCAGCCACGCCTCCCCTCCGTCTGCCGCACACAAACACACACACCACACACTCCTCCCCTGACATTCATTCACTTTTGTGACCCCACCCCCTTTCATCATGGGGCATAATTTTTGATTTCCGTTTGTTTTTTATTCACTTTGTTTTGCAATTAGGCAACACTCTCGTTTTTATAACCCTTATCTGGGGGAGGCCACACGTTATAATTGGTCACAAAAGGCAGGACCGGACCGGACCGGATCGCCAGTGCCATAAAATATTTATTTAAATATATACACCCGCTGCTCATAGAGCACAGGGTTATATTAAATTGTAAAATACCCACATGTGTACCGACAAAAACATTCATTTCGTACAGCGCAGCTGTGTGAGCAGGGAGCCAAACTCGCTTCCTGAATAAAGTACTTCGGTATCTGTTAATTCTTTTGAGTTTCGACTTTATTGGGCCTTGGCATCATATAGCTTTGGGATTCCAAATAACTATACAACTGAAGTCCAAAGTCATTTAATTTTCGAGTACATTTTCTTAGACATTTCCAGCAGCAACCCATTGAAGCCTACCTACTATTCTCAGCCCGAAATTTGGACTGCTCTTTAAGTGACTTTTTTATAGAGCACAGAGCAGATTACTCCCTAAAAGGTGTTTTTTTTTTACATTATTAGATGGAAAGAAAACTTGCAGTACAAAAAACGTTTTGCATCTTTCTGTTTGGCTGTTAATACAAAACTAGTCTTTCAGACGCTTCAATAGCATCCGGGAACGATCTCACAGCAATTTGTTCGTGTTCGTGTGTTCCTTCGCTTATTGGAAATTTGTACAGAAACTTCTTGCGCTAATGGAACAGGGATATCAGCGATGACTTAATCATAGAATTTTTCAATCAGCAAAGGTATCGAATACCACAGTCATACCACGACTGGTCAAACATTTGTGAAGCGTTCACTTTACTCCTGCACTGGCTTTTTTCTCTTACCGACTGGACTTGTGTCTGTGTGTGTGCGTTTTTTGGGCCTGGTTTAAATTCTTTCTGACATGCTTTTTGCCAATTTTCGGTTTGAATTTTGTGGTTTTTCCTGGCTCCCTCTTTGTGTAGTTGTTCTCAATTTTTTGGTGGGTTTCCTGTGGCATGTGTGTGTGTGGCACATCACTTTGCAGCTGATTGAAATTGTTTCGGATGCAACTGTCTGCCCCATGCATGCCCTGCCACATGCTGACATGAATCATTCAGATACTGGATGGTCAGTGGGGCTCAAACGAATGCCACCACATTCAACTTTTAAGAGACATCAATGCATTGCATTCTAGAAATAAAGCCACTTTGTTTTTGGGCTAGTTATAACTTCAAAGCGGTTACCCATGCATCATTTTAACACAAAACAATTTTTCTTTATTAATATATAATTAATTGAACACATTCAAAATTCAGAGAAAAACATTTAAGTTATTTTTTCATTTAATTTTTTATTTTTTCAGACATTATAGCTAGCCCAGGTACAAAGTGGTTATAATTTCCGAACTTCCACTGGTCCCCGGTATTTTTCGTTAATTTTCATCAGTTACTGTAAAACTGTGCTGTGGGGGGTGGCATTAAGCAATTTAGTGGCCATAAATCCAGGGAACAGAGAACATCTAAACTAGGACGACTATCTAACGAGTGTGTGGGTGATGGTGGTGGAGCGGTACGTGGGGCCATGCCCTTGGGACCCACCTGGTGCGGAGACAGTAGGAGGTGGCTGGTTTCCACATCCCTCGCAATGAGGGGGTGGCTGCCGCATGAGCATAATTTGTTGTAATTAACATAACGAGCCAACCCAAGCAATAATGGGCAAATACTCCCCCACACATACACACACACACGACAGGGGGCTGCATGGGTGAAGATGTGGGTGGGTGGGTGTTTTGGGGTTTGGGGTTTGGGGTTCGGGTTGTGTTCTGTTGTGCTGGGTTCTGAGTCCTGCCTTGGCCCTTTATCCTTTTTTGTAATTAATTTGATTTGTATTCCCTAAACAAAGGGTAACTTTACTATGACCAGAACATTGCCATGCAGCTGCAATAATGGAAGCATAACCGTTGATATGCGCCCGGGTACAGTATAGAAACTTCGGCGTTATTCTATGCATTTTTTTTTTGGTTCCTTTCATTTCTAGCATAAATAAGTTGTTGCCATTTAAGAAGAAATTTGCCAGCGGGGGTGGTGGCGGGTGCTGTAAATGAAGCATTTATGAAAATTACTTTATGCGGCACATTTACTCAGAATTTATAAATACATACATATTTGCTAAGAGAGAGAGGGGGAGGGGAAATTACTTTGTGGCTCCCAAATGAAAATGTCATCCATTCAACCAAATGAAAATTCAAACATTTCTCGTTGCAGCAACAAGTTGTTGAACTATCCGGCTATGTCATCATACTCGTCGAGAATGTGGAGGGGAAGATTAAACTATATGGCTCACCGCCCGATCGCGATAATCTGGAAGTGGGCGATGAGATACTCGAGGTTAATGGCCTTTCCCTGGAGAACATATCGCGCACGGAGGTCATACGCCACATACACGATGTACGTTTTATCGATCATACTGCGTGCTATATGGTACATCAAATATATGATTATTCTGATCGCTTTCTTAAACTCCAATTGCAGTGCATCAAGTCCTGTACGATCTGTTTGCGGGTGCGCAAGAAGAATGATTCTCGATTGGGTGAGTGTAGAAAAGTGCTTCTTAAAATTGGTTACATTTTCCTAAGAATTTTACTTGCAATTTTTATTTGAGTTTCCAATTAAAATATATAACTGAATATTTCGTACTTGCTTTGATTTTCATTCAACCACTGATGCAAACGTCCAGACAAGTAAAAAAAAAAAAATACGATCGATAGCGTACAGTTTGACAGCCAGATCAAGTGATTGCTCATCTGTTTTCAGGTGTGTTGTGACTGTTAGGAAAGCGTGTGAGAGCACCACTCGCAGACTTTATTTTATAACCCTCTCTGTTGCCCTAGAAGAGGGTATGATGATACTGAACATGTGACTGCCATTGTGGTGCAGATGAAAGCATCTTCGATGCCATAGAGATCCCATTAGATTTGTATCTTTTGCTGTGGGATGGCTGTATGAGGCGATCTGATGTAATGATCGATCTGCATCTAAAGGGTATCAAAAGCCTCGACCCCCGAAGCGGGCGTTTTGTTCTTTTGCAATTGTTGCTGCTTTTGCTTTGCTTCTTTGGTTCTCCTTTTTTGGCATTTTGTTTTTGCAATTGACTTTGCGTTAAGTCCCCTACTATTCCACACTATCCCCACCACTGCTTGGAGCAAAGCTTGCGCTCATTTTCTTCCCTCTCTCGCGTTCGTTCTCTCTGTCTCGTACCTCTTTCCTCTCTCTTTCTCTCTCTCTGTGTGTGGAGCCCTCCAGCGGGCGATGCTTTTGGGGCCTCTCCGGCTGCTTGACGTTGGAGCCGCGCGTCAGTTGTGCGGCGACTGTCGACGTTTTCGTAGCGTCAGCGTCGGAGTGTGTGTGTCGACGGTCGTTTCGGTTTTTCGTTGTGGGCCGCCCGCCCCACATTCCCCCCAGTTAGCTTTTTGTTGCTGCTTTCATTTTGAAGTGCACGCCGCGTCGCGCACGCGTTGGCGTCTCTGTTTCGTACGTGTTTCGCGCGGTGCTCGCGTCGGCGCTGTCGTCGTCGTCGTCGTCGTTTTGCCGTTGCGCCATTCCGCAGCATCATTCCATTCCAGCGTTTTTGTGCGCCTCCCCCAATTCTGGCAGATATATGTATTTTTTTCGGTGTTACGAATTGCATTCGATTTGTTTGTGTGTGTCAGCAGCAGCAGAAGCAGCAGCAGCATCGCAGTTGCAGTGCAGTGGCCAACAGTCAGCAGTGCAGAAGCGTTGAAATCGGCAAAGCAGTGCAGTAGCAGTGCAAATAGAAGTTCCAGTTGCAGCGCAGTTACAGCGCAGCTGCAGTGCAGTTAGGAGCACAATCTCCAGCAAAGTGAGTAACCTTCCAATGGCTGTAAAACTGCTGGCCCAGGCAGTGGGGGGATTGGAGTGGAGTGATTCCCCAAAAGGTGTTCGTACGGATTGCTCTTACCGATGGGGCCGGTATGGGGGCTACGTAGTTGCCACCACAGCTGCCAGCTGGGGCTCTGGAGCTTTGGTGGGTCTGTGGGACGGGTGTGGGGGTTGCTCTGAATCAACATTGTCGCAGTTGTTGTTATTTCTGTTGTTTTTTTTTTTTCTTCTTTTTGCTCTCTGCTTTTTCAAGTACCTGAGAAACAGGCACAGTCATGTCCGCCCCTGGCACCAGACGTGTTTGTGTGTGTGCTGTGTGAGTTTGTATTTTATACTCTATGTACGGGGGTATGATGATTTTTACCATATTATGGCCAGAAAAGGATTCAAATTCGACTTATTCGACTTATTATGGCTTCAGAAAAAGTTGCCCAAAATTCCCAAAATCCATGCTTTGATGGGGGAGAGTGGAACCATTAAATGAAAATACTAACAGATATCTGGGGCTTTTACGGTACTCTATACTCGTAATTGCTGATCAGCTGCCATGAATCACTCTCTCTTTTTTATGGTAATATTAAGTACGAATGTGCATACACTTTGGGCATTTCGATCATAACATATGTATTATATGCCAGCAGTCTTTTATCAGAATTTATATAATCTATCAAATGAGTTCCCTTGGTAGGGGGGGGGATCAAAAGATGCGGCGCATGATCTGAGAATATCTTTATCTTGCGCCTCCTATGTCTGTCATTATGAATAATTGCGAGCCGGCTTCGATTCACGGAAAGTTTGTATAGTTTGTATTTTTTTTTATTGTCTCTCCGTATTATTTTATGGTCGAAATTTCAGATTTCTGTTTAGCCCATTAACACGGCGGCAATGGGTGTATACTTGTATGCATGTGTATGTCCATTTTTTTTTTTTGTTGGGCGTGAGTGTGCAAAAACTAACACCCGCTGCCTCCTGCCTCCTGCCACTCCACTCCCCATGGACCATTGTCGGACAATCGCTTGGGAATGGTGGGAGTTGCTCTGCTCTCTCCTATCTCCTATCTTTATCTGAATTTTCGCTTCACGAGTACGTACGCTCTGCCGGTTCGCAGCCTCCACTCGGGAGCAGCGGAGGCATTGCCATTGCCTCCCACCGAATTCAGCCAACTGGAAATAACTGCAAAAAAATAGACAAAGAAAGACAGGGACCGACAGACTCAGATAGAGAGATAGTGAGAGACAGAGAGAGAGAGAGGGACAAATGGCAATAAAAGCTGCTTACAGTTTTGGCAGCGCTGTGGGCCACGTGTTGTTGTTGTTATAAAAAGCGGCTAAACAAGAAAACAGAGAGACGGTCAGAAGGACAGACAGAGCGGCAGAGAGACGGGCCGAAAAGAAAACTAACCTCAAAACGAAACAAGTTCTGTTGAATGTGGAAATCAACTGTCAAAAAAAAAAAAAACGATTAAAAAAAAAACGAGAAAAAGAAGTGTGGAAAAATAAACAAAAATAACATTTATGGATCCCCACTCATATGTACATACCACATTGCCAGCAAAGCAACAAACATTAAAGCCGAAAATTCTCTGAGGGAAGATCCATTCATGAAAGAATTTCAACACCAGAAAAAAGGTATTTTCTTTTGGATATTTTCTGAACACTTAAAGTGCTCTGAATAGGTATACAATATTCACTTAAAGTTCACAGCAGAATCTCATTTGGGGATAAATCTTTAGTTTCAAAAGAGAGACAACATTTGGGGAGGGAACAATAGAAGCCATTCCTTGGTAAATATCTTAAGCAATAAATTGAAATTAAATATATTAAAACCAGGCGAACTTCTTTGAGACAGCTAAACCTTTACTGGAATTAAAGAGGGTTCCCCTTATGATCCCAGTGAATTAATTAAACTGAAAATGTTCCATCAGAAATGAATCTATCAGACCGTTGGATACCAATAATAATAATCGATCATCATCAGCAGCAGAAGAGACCCAAAAACTATAATGATAATGATTTCTAATGAATATCAATCATTTCCAGTGCCCATCGTGTATTATTATAGATCTATTCTGCATATAAGCCGCCTACAGTTTGGGCTGCACTGCTGCTCAAAATGCATTCCAAGGGGCGTACCCATACGTACCCACCCCACCCCTTCCTGACCAGCGACCAGCCGCCTGCAGCAGTGGTACGAGTTTGGAATATCATCCAAAACCTCCTTTCTCTGGCCTGCTCTTTTATTTTTGGGTCAACCTCAATGGACCCCAAAAGAATTTCCAGTTTCCAGCGAAACCCACACGGGAAACATTCCAAAACGAAATCAATATAGACAGCGAGAGGGAGCGAGATGCCATGGCATGGAGAGGGGGGTGAGGGCCGTCAGACAGAGTGGTGGAGCGGCAAAGTGGCAGAGGGGGATGGCGGGAGGGGGGTTTGGAAGCTATCACTGAAGTTTTGTCTATTGCCGTGGCGACGGCCTGCAGGTGCAAGTGGGATAGCCAAACCGCATAACATTACCTCTCATCATCTGTGTGTGTGTGTGTGCAAAGCGGAGAGACGGAGAGACAGAGAGAGAGAGACAGAGAGAGAGGGAGAAGGCTTAGCAGCGGCGGCGACTAACAAACAGCATCCGAAATCCGGTAACGCAAGTTTCTGGGCTCCACGTCGCCGCCGCTGAGCGCAGCAATCAATTGTGTGAGTAAGTCGGCAGGGTACACCAACGAAAGGTGTGGAGTGAGAACGAGCGCCAAGATAACAGCGTAGAGAGAATGGTGGTCCAGCAGCCATCACCTCCTCACCTTATATGCAATGCACCCAAAGTAGGTCTTTCTATTTTACAAGCCGTGTGGCAGCAGCAGCAGCATCGCAGTCAGCGTCAATGACGATACAATTGAGCGCCTCTCCCGATGGTCTGTGTGGCCTGTGTGTGGTTCAGGCGGAGGGTGGGTGGGTGGCTGGCTGGCTGGAGGGCATACGTAGGGTACCTACAAGCATGGCCATGTGCTGCGATGTGTAAAAGTCAATGCCTCAACAGAGCGACAAAGCGACGGAGCGACGGAGCGACAGAGACAAAGAGTCAAAGAGGGGGGAAAAGTGGAAGAAGAGACCCAAAATAGTATTGGCCATGGAATTGCATTGAAACGGATACGGATACGTTTTGATGTTGCCAAAGAAATGGGCAGCGGATGCCTGGGATCCAAGAACGAATCTGTGTCCGTTTGCTTATGGGGAAATTGGTACAGCAGCGAATCAACGTCATGGGTTGGGTGGGTGGGGGGTAAAGAAATTGGTGCAACATTCTTTCATGGATTGAGTGTCTTTGAATGCCATTCACATTCACATTCGCTACACATCGTGAATGATGCACCATCATCACATACTTTTGCACTCTCCTTTCTGGTGCATAAATATTCTCCTTATTTTGGGCTCATCTTTGTGCAACGTCTTGTGGTGTGCCCCTCCCCAGCCGCTGCCCACGAGTACCGTACCTATTCCTCTACCTCTTTTCTTTTTTGTTTCTGTTGCTGTTTCTGTTGCTGTTTCTGTTTCTTGTACTGCCTTGTGTTCTGGGTTTCTTTATCAGCTGCTATTGCAGCTGCATTTGTTGTTCTTCTTTCGTTGTCTTCTTCTCCTTATCTTTTTATTTATTTTTTTTTATTTTCTGGCTTTTTTCTCTCTGCTTCTTTTCATT